TGTAAGTTTCCTTCGGATAAGGAACTTAGTTTTAGGGACTCTTTGAGTCGTACGTCTTCCTCTGACGTTAGCTACGGCAGCCCCGCTGCATCCTAGGTTCAAACAACCTGGAGGTTCTAATAAAACGACAACTTGGTTTGGAGTTACAAAATGAAACCGATTCGAACCTCGAAACGGATTCAAACCAGGTTTGCTCGTAATTTTGGTTTGGTTCGAACAGGCCCAGATTTGGTTTGGTTTGGTTTGTTCAGGGTGTGAGAAACATTTTAGAGGTTATAATGGAATACGTCTATTTATATGCTTCCGACAACCATAGATATAGCGAGAAATTGCACATGTAGCCTAATTATATATTTGTACAGGTTCGTCGACGGTTCTCGATCCCACCTAAGACTCTGACTCTGAATATAAATATCCAGAGAACTATTGGACTGTACCCTGGGTTTTCGTTCGAGTGCGGAGCACTCGGCCCTTGGAACGAGCTAATTAGCTCGTTGAAGGTCGTGGAGGAATCTTCTGTGCCATCGCCTTGTAGTAGTGCAGCGTCTCTACCCAATAACGAAGTGATTCTTCGTCCTCGCACCGCAACTCGTACGTACGAGATCCCCGAGGATTGAGACGCGTACTAAGATCAACCACTACGTCAAAGTGGAAGTGATTGCCGCGAGCGTGACGCTGGACGAGGATGTTGGAGATCCGAGAAACTGCAAAACCGCCGCGAGGTGTGAAGCCTCGAGCATAGTCGTCCTTACTGAAGTGGTAGCTCAGAATAAAGGTCTTTGGGTCTACTTTGAACCAGCGCTTTTCCCAGCCTCGGAAGATGGACGCGCTTTTCTTCTCTAGCATCCCTTCCAGTACAGGCAGTTGCTGTTGGGTTAGGTCCGTGCGAATGCAGAGCCTGTTCATGTCACGCACTAGAGCGACCATCGTGGAGCCAACTTCACGGAGCTCACGTGCTTGAATACGGTCCACGTCTGCTGCCAGTCTTGCCACGTCAGCATTAACGTCTGGGTATCCAGCGAGAATGCGGCGCTTCAACGACTCCACTCGCTGTTGCAGCGTTGGGAAATCGCGAATAGTCTGTGCAATAGGCAGAGCTGACGACAATCGTAGTGGAGTCTCCCCGTCCGCAGCGTGCATTCCAATACCGCTGCTATCTGATGCATCACGACGCGGTCTAGATGGTCGTATACTTTGGCTTGGAGGCAGACTGATTCTCGACTGAGCAAGAGGGTCAATATCTGATTCTGGAGTATCGTCGACGACTGATAACTCGCTGTCAGTGCGGGAAAGATAAAATCGCTCTGTGGTGCTTGCACTATTGTGGAAATCACGCGTTGTAGCCTCTGAATGAGACCGCACCACGCTTCTCCGACCTCCGCCCGCTGAAATATTCTCGTTGTCAGCAGCCTTTGACTGCTCAATAAGCCCTGGGTCTTCACCTTTTTTAAGTCTTGCGGTCTCCTCAGTTGGACTCAGAGCCCCAGAGGATTTGTAAACAACATCCATGACACTTTTACGCATGTTTCCCTTCAGGAGAGTGATGCTGTTTGCCGCAGTGGACGGGCCTCGCTGCTGTTTGAGTCGCTTGTAGACTTCCCACGGGATGTCCTCACTCTCGATATCTTCGGGCTCAGCGCTGTCGTACAGAACCTGGAGACTGCGTAGCTGATATATCTCAGCCTGCTCCATCTCGCCCTGCCTTTAAAAAGTCACAATGATCAAGTAGGAAAATATCCTCATAATAACTCAAATAAAGCGACTTGGAGCTCACATTTGACTCACGAGAGCGAGGCTGTTGAGTGTCTCCGCCACTTTGAGGCTGTTCTTGCCGTGACATTTCTCGCGTAGTGTCAACGCCTTCAGTAGATGCTGCACGGCGATATCTGGCATCCGGTGGAGTCGGTAGACCGTCCCCAGCTCTTGCAGAGCCTCGGCCGTCAGATCGTCTACATACAGCCACAAGGAGATTAGTCACTTAGTAAATAGCTGCCTTGTTGCATTCGCTGCTGCTCTGTCCCACCAGGTCCAAACTTTTCGTGGATGACGAGCCGCTGATGCAACAGTGGAAGCGCCTTGTCGTGTTCTCCATTCATCACGAAGAGCAGCGCCAACTGTTTCAGATCATCTGACACGCATACGTGGACTACGTAGCAGCAGCAAGAGCGTCAGTTATACATGGAGATATTGAGGACGCTAAGAGACTGACGCACACTCTCCATGGGCCTTCTGAGCTGCTCGCAACCGCTCCGCCTGCTCCATTACGGCCTGCGTAGGAGATTTGAGAGTGAGCGCACAAGCAGGGAAGACGCCTGGATAGCATACGGACCTTTAGCAGCACATTCACGTCGCCGCCGCTGCTACCGGTATCCGTCGCCATGTTGATCCACGTTTACTATGAAATTTAAGTTTGATTTTGTTAAATTAAAATATTTATTTTCTTAATAATTATTCTGGGATAGGAAGCGACGAAGTGATGAATAGCCAACCAAGTTGAGTGGTGCTCCCGCAACGTCCAAGGTGTCAAGCCATTCCTATCCTTCACACCTTTTTTTTTTCATGTCTGCCTCCGTCAACCACGCGTTGCCTTCTTCGTTAATTAGAGCTGCAAGTCGTTGGTATCGACATTTTTCAACTTGTCCTTCTCCTCCGCCTTGATCGCTTTCTTCAAGTCATCCACCAAGTCACTCTTGTCCACTCGCACAGAGATCCCAGCCTCGAGGAGACGCTGCATTATTATAATGACACAGAGATCCCAAAAGGACGTGAAGGGGTGTCATTAGCGTATCTTGCTTGAAACGACTTTATACTTGGAGAAGACGGAGGCAATGGAGGGGGGAGACAGCATCGTTTTGGAGGAGGAGATCGACCCCAACTATGAGCCGACGGAGAAGGAAGTGCTGGAATATGCCACGTGGCTTGGGATGGACTTGGAAGCGGAGCGAGATCTGTTCTGGATTGCCCGAGAGGGTTTGAAGGCACGTGGCATCGTGGACTCTTCTCTTCGTAACAAACACTGACTATGAATGGACGCTTGTTGCAGGCTCCACTTCCAGAGAACTGGAAACCATGCAAGACAACGGACACGGAAGAAATTTATTATTTCAACTTTGCCACTGGCCAAAGCACGTGGGACCACCCTTGCGATGAGGTTCGGTGCAGTGAACATTTACATTAATTACTAAAAGTATTAAACGCTAATTCTCGCTTCCAGTTTTATCGCAACCTGTACGAGGAGCACAAGAAGAAACGTCACACAAAAGACGCACAGGTACATTATCTTATAGTTCAACGTCTCTACCTATATAAGAGCTAACCTCTTTGGCAATCCACTGTAGGAGACAGATGAGAAGAAAAAAGCGAAGGAGGACGTTGCGGAACTCTTGGGTCGAAAGAATGGTGGGAAGAAGAAGAAAGGGGCTTTAGCTAAAGCTGATCCACTGAGTGGGCCTACACTTGGGAAGGCTAACCCTTTGGAGAAGAAACCTCTCCCGGGACTTTCAGGTAGATTGGGGTCTCTGGGCTCCAGTGGCTTAGGCGGAGGGGGATTAAAGCCTGTTGCGGGCCTTGGAGTAAGTGCAATTCATACGATTTGATAGTAGAAATGGTCATCCTCACCGACCATAATACTATATGTCAGCCCCTGAAGAGCGAAGCGAAGGACTTGGGACTGGACAATGCAGCCGATGACTTTAAAGGCAGCGAACTGGCCAAGCCTCTATCGAGGACCCCACTTGGCTCTGCTCTGGGTAAAAAGCCTCTGTTGTTGTCTCCATCGACCGCTGCAATGGACACGAAGGCGAATGCTGACGCGGACTTCGAAGAGAAGCGTGAAAAACTCGCTAAAGACCACGCAGAAAAGTTACGTGAGCTCCAGAATGCCCATGACAACGAGCTTGAGACGCTGCGAAAGAAGCTGAAGGCTCAGCAGGAAGATGTTCAAGATTCCGAAGAAATGAAGCTGAAACAGCTGAAACGCGAGTTGGACAAGCAGAAAAATGACTTGGAGAATCAATTCGATCGAGAGGAGAATGCTCTGCAGCGCAGCCGTAAAGACCAACTGAAGCGTCTCGAGACAGAGAACGAGACTGCTCTTAGTAAGAAGAAAGAGGATTTGGACCGCGAGTTTAAGGCTGAGACGGATAAACTACGACTCAAACACGAAGCGAAGAAACGAGAGATCCAGGAGGATTTTGAACAAGAAGAGAAGCAGTTGATGGACAAGATGAAGAACGTATTTGGAGAGAAGAAGGAAGCCGCGCAACTCGCGATTGATCTGAAAGCTGAAGTGGATCGGCTGCATGATCAACAGAAAACCCTCGAGCAAGAGCTGGATTCTGTTCGTAGTGACAAGGATACATTACTTCGAGATAAGGAGAGTGTGAAGAAGGAGCGAGACAGCGCTCAACGTAAGGTACAGGATCTGCACAAGCAGCTATTACAACTGAACCGATCGGAATTATCCTCGGCCCCTGTTGAAGTGTGTACGAAATGCTCTGCTTTGGAGGAACAAGTATCGTCTCTTAAGAGCGAGTGCTCTAAGGGCCAGAGTGAAGTTGACAAACTGCAGAGGGAGCTCACAGCATTTAAACAAGAGACTGAAGATACTAAAAGAGAACACGAGGAACTGGTAAGGACTCTTCGTGATCGAGAAGCCGCTCTGAAACAAGAGACCGCAGCACTAGAAGACCAATTATCTTCACTTAAAGTAGAATCGAGTGAGCTTAGGACGAAATGTGCTACTCTACAGAGCGAGATTGATGCAATGGGTAAAGGAGAATCGACAGAGGACACTAGACAATTGGAAGCTCTGCGCAAGCAGATAGCAGCAGCTCAGGCTGAGGTGAACAACACAAAGAGCGAGCTCAGTGGCTTGCAAGACGAACACGCTGTGATTCTAACGACCAACACTCAGATCAAGGAACAACTGATGAAAGAGTCAAACGAGAGGAAACTTCTCCGCGAGCAGTTAGACTCGAAGACGGAAGAAAGTTCACAGCATTTGGTTGCAGAAGTGGAGAACTACCAGCAGCAGCTTCAAGCTCTACAGCAGCGGCTTGACATTGAGTTACATGCTCGAACAGAGCAAGAGGATACATGCAACACATTACGGAGAGATATGGAGACATTGGAGCAAGTGAAACGTAAACTGGAGGGCAAAGTGAGTCAACTGGAAGGTGAAAAACTCACGATACACTCCAGTGTAGCCGATGACAGCAAGGATAAAGAGCGCTTGGTTCATCTGAAAAAGGAAATTAGTCGACTAGAAGACCAGCAGAGCACTCTGGACCAAGAACTGAGATTAATTCGAGCTGAAAGGAAGGTTTTAGAGCGTGAGAAAGACTCTGCAGAGACGCAATGTCGACTCGACCAACGCGAGATAGAAGAACTACGAAGCCAACTCATAGAAATCAGTCGACGGGATTCATTGCCGGAGAAGTGTACTCAGTGCTCTGTCTGGGAGGCTCAAGTTTCGTCACTGAAGAGCGAGTGCAGTCAGGCTCACACCGAAGTGGAAAAGGTGCGCAAGGAGCTTGCGGAGTTCAAACAAGAGACAGAAACACGAACTATAGCAGAGCGAGATGAATCCAAAGCAACTACTGCAAGTTTACAGCGAGAGATGGATGACGCCACAAGAGCTTTCCAAGACCAAGAAGCTGTTCTTAAACGCGAGATCACAGCTTTTCAACAGAAGCTACGCACAGTTGAGGCGGAATCAAGGGCACTAAAAGGCAAGTGTGAGTTACTCGAGACCGAGAAGGACATTGCCAATCAGCGTGAGTCGGATGTGTCTTCCTCAGCGTCAGTAGCGAGGGAGCAACTGAAGACTCTGGAGCATCAACTGGCAGCGTCTCAAGCCGAAGTCACCAGCACAAAAGCGGAACTCCGCAAGCTGCAAAGTCAGCACTCTACTCTTCAATCAACGAGTGCGCATACGAAGGACCAGCTGATGAAAGAGTCAAACGAAAAGAAGGAACTTCACGACAAGCTGGACTCGAAAACGGAGGAACTGAGTCAACGTCTTGCAGCCACAACGGAGAAATATCAACAGCAGGTGATGTCACTACAACAGCAACTAGAGAGTGAGTCTAGAGCTCGAATAGAGCGGGAGGACGCGTGTGATGCACTGCGCAAAGAGTTGCACATATTGGAGCAAGCGAAGCGTAAGGTGGACGCTCAATTGGGCCAACTGGAGAGCGACAAACGCCACTTGGAGTCGGAGAAGGCGGTGCTAACTCTGCGTCTGGACGAGATGAATATTACTCGCAAACGGGACGAGAAGTCGGTCATGTCAGTGGAAGAAGCGCTTGCAGACAAGAAGCTGGAGGTGGAGCAGTTGCGAGCAAATCTGAAAGTTCTAGAAGTGGATAAGGAGCACTTGGAAACTCGATTGAAGACGCTAAACCAGGATTTAGAGCAGTTACAAACGAAGATGCATCGACTAGAGGCAGAGTATGAGAGCGAACGCACTCGATCGAGATCGCTCGAGAAGGAGAGGGAGACGGTATCGCAGCGACAACAGAATCTGGTGAGCGAACTGGAAAGCAGCCAACGCAAATATCGCGCTCTGAATGGTGAAGTTTCAGAGCTGCAGAGTCAGCTGAGTAAATCAAAGGCAAACGAGCAAGCAGCAGCGAGTAAAGTGGAGCAAACTGCTCAGAAACTTCGACAATTGGAGCAGCTGATGGAACGTGATGTCTTTGCAATGAAAATGAAGCTGCAACAGACTGAAGTGGAGCACGAAAATGTCCTTCACAATAAGGAGAGAGCTGAAATGCAGTTGCAAACAAGAGAGAAGGAGTTGGCAGCAGCAAAGGACGAAGTTACGAGGAAAGAGAGCGAAGTTGAGTCGCTCCAAGCACGCGTTAAGTCTTTGCTCAGTGACAAGGAAGAAGTCCAAGCTGCTCTTCTCAACGCCAACATGGCGAATGTCGCTTCAGCTTCAGCCAACCGAGAGTCAGCCACGTCTATGAGTGCAAGTACAGATGTGATGCTGGTGAAGCTCCAGCTTGCCGATGCGAACAGAACCGAGCTAGAGCTCCATTTAGCTGAAGTTTCGTCGCAATTGGAGAGTTCTACGCGTCGATGTGCGTCTTTAGAAGCACGATGTCGTGACCAATCGGTGGAGATTGAATCGCTTCACGTCGAGGTGGCATCGCTCCGCTTGGCGTCCCAGAAGATGCACATGTCTGCATTAGAATCCCTGCCACTTGTGGAGAGACTTGAGTACGAGCACAAGAAGCGAACACTACGGAGCGACTTTTTGAATCAGCTGCGTGATTTCCAGGAACGAGAAGAGCAGGCGCTTGTTCGACACAAAGCGCGTCTACGTGCTCAGTATGAGAGACATCTAGAGGATCTGGTAGCTGAGCTGGAGAAGGTGAGGCAACAACGCGTGGAACAGGAGGAGGCGCTGTCTGTGCAGATGATTCAGCAGATACGGCAGGAGAGAGATGTGAAGCGAAACGAGGCTAAGAAGCAGGTGCGAGAGGAGCTGAATCAGTTTGAGCAAGATCTGCACGAACGTAAAGCTCGAGATATTGAGATCATCTCCAAAGCGATTGAAAGAGAAGAAGACGAACTGGGCGCCAGGCTCCGTGAAATGCGTCAGGTGGCACGTGAGGAGGAGCTAGCAAAGCAGAAGATACCTTCTGGCCATAAAGTCGAGACCCCAGTATCTCCAGGACAGCTGAGTAACCGGCGAAATACTATGCAAAGCCAACCTGAGAGTCTCGACGGAGATGACGATGAAGATCCAGTGACGAGGAAACGTGCTAAGACAAGAAATCAGCTAGGTCGTTCTGGTCGACATCATAAGAGGAACACAAATACGTATCAAAAGTGGAAACAGCGACTACAGGAAGAAATGGATCTCCTTGTAAATGCACGAACTCTGGTGGCAAACCAACGCCAAGGTCTAACGAAACAAGCTCAACAATTGAAAGCCAGTAAAAATGAATGGAAGCGGAACTCCCGCTCATCCGATTCAAATCCAATTCAGCGGGAGGTGAAGCGTATGCTGGACGAGGTGAGTGTGTTCCGCTCAGTTGCTGAAGGCAAGTGCTAACTTAAGTGCTAACTTTTGTGAGCTGGTCTTGTGGACTAGAACATGGCAAACTGGAGCGAGGGTATGCGAAAACTGCGGAAACAGGAAGCGTGGGTGAAACAGCGAGAGCAGAAGCTAACGAAGATGAAGCGCACAGGTACGATGAACCACCAGTGGTCTCAGTATTGCTTGGAATTTACTCTCTTGTTGCCGTAGTTGAACGACTGAGGAGGGGACACGCGTCCATGCGTGACAACAATTCAGGGCCAAGCGACAGTAGTAGTGACGAAGGCGACTGGTCTGACTTCTCAAATCAATCCGAAATTACATCGACACTAGAAAAGCTTGAGAGGCTGGAAGAAGAGTTAGCCTCCGATCCAGGAAGTTTCCCATTCAGAGGATTCCCGAGAGAAGTTGACGATCCTTTCCATGGCAACGGATTTCACACCATTTATCAAGTTCCTCCTCAGTCGTATGCAATCCAACGCGAAGGCTCATCACTGAGATATTTCACACCCAGGAGAGCGATCCACTCAGCAGGAGACTTAGCAGTGCCGGATACGCGATGGATTCGTTCGCAACGCACTGGATTTGGTCTACGGTAAGACTCTTTTGCATCATTTTACCCGCTAATAGTCGATACTAACGATGTTGGGGTGTGTTTTAGCGGAAATCATCGCTTCGAGATAGCGCCATTAGCTTCTAGTGCCAGTCACGCTGACCAAGTGTACCAGCAGAAGATTTCACGCTGGGCAAAAGGCCGCGAAAAGGTGCAGCACGCCGCCAACAACCACGCAACATGGCTATCAGGCCTCTGTAAGGAGCTGAAAGAGTATGGAGCCAAGTACACCAGAGAAGTAGAAGACACGAGCGGTGCGCAGTATGCTCAAGAAGAAGAAGATTAAACAGATGCGCCACCACACTTCGGAATGACAATTGTAACCTCGAGAAGGATTTTTTTTTTTTTTTGTATTCGTTCGAGGTCATCCATCATCTACTTCGAAGTATCCTAAAACTATTCATCACAACACTTTCGATTGCACAATTATGATGGCAAGGGTGTGGTGCAAGTTTCTCACAATCCGTTCTCTGTGATCGCGGATGACCAACAATGTGAGGAAGACTTGAAGCTTTCTATCGTGCGAAAGCCTTGGATCATGAGGCTAGCACTATGCAGGCGTAGCTATATCTCGCTAAGGACAGCAACAATGAGTGATTGAAGATCTCAGAATTTCTCGCCGGCGAAATGAGGCTGGGCCGAGTTCCTGGCGAGATGAATGACTTCACGGGAGAATCAATCGACTCAACACTGTCCATGAGCGAGTGTTTGCAATTATTCCTTCATCCAGGCACATCCATCTCATCGTGGGTGGGATCGAGTATGCGTACTCTGTGGGAAGGAAGGAAAACATGGCTGGCCCTGCTGAAGCACCATTCTCGTTGACTGGGTCCATGGCGATGTTCCAGTACTTGTTTTGTTACTCAACAGTTCGCTTTAAACTTGCATTATTTGCGATCATCGTACAAGTCTGGGGTGCTTATAAGCCAACTGTGGCCGAACTATCATCTCGATCAACGGAATGATCGCCTCCAATTGCTACTGACACTACTGAATGTCCAGACTTCTGCGGACCGTGGCTGGTATGTGCCTTGAAGAGGGTAAAGATGAATTTCTAACATTTCCTCGTCCCAATGGCATTTGCGTCTACGTTGATCCGCAGTGTGTAGTAAAATGTTTCTTTAACGCTCTCGGTCTCTTTCAAAGTGCGAAAGTTCAGGCGGAGAAAGTGAATGGAGTACTGAAGATTAATGCATAATCTTCATTCCCCCGAGGAAGAGCTCCTAGTCCGCGCAATTTAACCGAGTTATTCAGGGCGCTTCACGATGTCTTGGAAGCTCTAGCGAAATTTCATGCTTTGCTGTGGATGCACCGAGATTTTCGATGGGAAAATGTAGCGATAGCAATTCATCGACTTCATGGACGCAGCACCGAGTCCGCAAGATGCAGCGACGGGTAAGCACTTGAACCCATACAACCACGCCGGAGATTTTCAACGGAAGCTGCAAACACTCGACGGTAGGTCGGTGGGCTATTTGATCGATACTGCAGGTGTGGAGGATTGGGATAGTAGTACAGAGAGAACAGCATTCAAGAACGAGTTGATGGACGCGGATTCGCTCAAGCGACCAACCGCAAGCTCCAGCACAAGGAGAAGACAGCTGCTCGACCTAAACGCAACTCCGAAAGCTTGCATAGTTGGATTTTGCTTTTTTTTTTTACAAAATGCATCTCAGAAATACCGTCGCTCTCTTCTTACTCGTTGTCGTCCTTCTTCTCGGGTTTGATGTTCTGATTGACCCACTTTGTCTCCTCCTTGTCTTCCTTGACGGCTGCGTAGCGCGCAGACACGAATAGGAAGTCGCTCAAACGGTTGAGGTATCTCTGTACAACGCCGTCCACGTCGCCTGCTGCCACGAGCGGCACAACGCTGCGCTCAGCTCTGCGGCAGACGGCTCGAGCCACGTGAAGGTGTGTGGAGGTGAGACCACCCCCAGACGGCAGGATGAAACACTTAATCGGCGGTAGCTCGGTGTCCATCTCGTCGATCCAGTGCTCCAGTTGCGTCACGTTGGCCTCGTCGAACACGCCAGTGCGGCGCTGCTTAGTCTCCGACGCCGAGGTCAGTGGCGTGGCTACACAAGCGCCGAGGTCGAAGAGGCGACTCTGAATCTGCTCTAGCTTGGGCGGCAGGTAAACGTTGGCGACCACGCGCGCCTGCTCCACGGCCACGCCGATATGAGCGTTGAGCTCGTCCGTGTCCCCCAGCGCCTGGAACACGGCGTCGTTTTTGGGACGACGCTCGCCCGAGAAGAGCTGGGACGTGCCCTTGTCACCTGTCTTAGTGTACACCTTCATGCCGCGAATAGAGCCCAACAGTTGGAGCTGCGCAGACCGCGAGACTCGCAGTGCCAATAGCAATGAACGCATTCACACTTGATGGCTCGTTCTTGTGAAGGATCTTCTTTACACGTTGGAGCAGGTACGGATAGCGAGCAAAATGGCTTTTACAGCGTTAGAGTGCCTTTTGGACAACTTCAATGAGATCTTGATCAGCTTAGCTGGCTGTAACTCGACCACTTCGACCCGTGCGAAATGCTCTTCACGTATCTGCTTGTGGCTAACAGTCAAATACACTGCACAAGGCGATAAATCACGTTGACAGCATACAATTGGCATGAGTTATGGCAACCGTTGAAAGCTTGATAAGGCAGGCGACTTGTTTATGCTGCCCTCTTCAATCCGATCCTTACATTCTCCAAGTTGTCCATTCATGATGATGTCGAGCTTGCAGCACTAACAATTCAAACTCACACCAGTTGCAACAATTCCTCGAGCCGATGGAGGAGAGACTTCCTCTGCTGCCGCGTCGGTCATCCCCCGCCGCTGTGGCGCACAGCACGCAGATCTACGGCCAGCGCCACGAGCATCTGGACGATATCGACAAGAGTGGCACTAGTCTTCGCACATCTAGCAGTGGCAATGAGGCCTACGACGCCATCATGCAGCTCTCGCAGCCGCTCAACCCGCTACAGAACGCCAAGATCCGCTCGCTCGCCATCTGGCTCGTCACTTCCTGCATCCTCTTCCTCACCAACCAGCTCACAACGCTTCCCGTGGGGTTTTACCCATCCTATGCCACCAAGAGCGGCATCATGACACCTGCTCAGCTCAGCATCTTCTTCTCCGTTTACCCACTTTGTATTATGCTCAGTAGTCCGTTAGCGGCGTCAGTAAGTCCCACAGTCGGACGACAAACGCTCATCTGTCTCGGACTTATGCTCAGCGGCTCCAGCACCATCGCTTTCGGGTATGCCACCGGAACGTCCTCGGCATTTCTGCTGCGGATCTTCCAGGGGTTTGGCTCAGGCGCAGCAGGTGCGAATAATATACTAGCGGTGATATGTTTACTCTTGTTTCGAGTTCTGACAATGGCGTTTTGCTCCAGTGGTGGGCTCATTCTCCATGATATCGGAGGAGTTTTCTTCCCACGTCGGTCAGGTTCTAGCGATTCAGGAGTTTGTCGTTGCAGCAGCCTTCATCAGTGCACCGCCGCTTGGAAGCTACTTATACGAGACGCAGGGGTACGAGATGCCGTTCTTGGTGTCCGGTGTAGCGCAGATTGTGGTCGTGATCATCGTACCTTTCGTCTTCATCGAGTACTCGCTCCCAGACGGTATCTACGCCCCAGCAAGGACTCGACCAGCTTCAGGATCACTCTACAGGACACCGTCATTCAGCATTGTACGATATAAGGACGTGTTGACGCCCACCTGCGTGATCTGCCTCGCTGTGACCACCTTTGCGATGTCTTCGTTCGGGTTCATTGACCCGTATTTGGGCACACATCTACACAAGGTCTTGGGCGCAGAGCACGTGGCTGTCGGCCTGGGGTTCGCTCTGAGCGCTTTTGTCTACTTTTTGGGAGGTCTTGTGTATGCGTGGCTGAGTCGGAATTGCGGCTCTAAGCAGGTTATTCTGCTGGGCTTGATGCTTCTTGGCGTCGGTTTCTTCTTCCTCGGACCCCCGCCGTTCCTGAATGGCCTCTTCCAGAACATAGAGGGCTTGTGGATCGCTCAGTATGCATCGCTGATGCTGACTGGCTGCGGCGCAGCACTGACTATCGCTCCAGGACTACCGCTGACGCTCGCGAGTATACAAGACAAGGGAATACTCGGCTCGAACCTCGTGATCGGACTGTTCGCTGCCGCCATTTACCTCGGCCAGGCTCTCGGACCGTTCGTGGCGTATGTGCTCATGCAGATGCTGCCAGTCACTCGTTCACTCAACTGCATCAGCGTACAAGACGACCCAGCGAGCACCATCGTTACTTGCGATTCATCTCTACCCTGGGCCTTCGCCGTGTACTCGGTGCTGACGCTCGGACTATTCGCTTTTGTGGCGACGCATTTGCCCACGAGCGAGGCCACCGCCGAGTTGCTGCGACAAAAGAGGAAACGAGTGCCGCTCATGCGGCAGCCATCCGAGTATGGCCAATTTGTGTGCTTCGATGACGACGAAAACGTTGCAGATGGTATCGACTTCTAAGGCAAATTGCCAGTTTAAAGTGGCATGAACAGAATCGACAATATCTTCAAGAGGAACGATCGGATTGAGGTGCTCCTTGCGCCACTAGAAAGAGGACGACGGGGGGAGGTTTTTGTGATGTTTTGGTAACAAATCGTGCAGTTTCGAGATCTCTGCGCGATTGCATTGGGTTCGACTCTTAGATCACATTGCGTATTTGGATTTCGGCCATCCGCGTGCACTTGCTGCTATTGTACAAAGGCAAGCGCTGACAGCCTTTTGTTCAGTCGTGACTTTGCCGACTGCGTGATCAGGAAAAAAAACTGAGTATAGATATCGGGGCTATCGCCAAAATTCGACAAGTTTTAAAACAAGTGTTTTGGAAAAGTGGCTTTCATCCGTTGAAGAACATGTTTGAGTCAAACAGTTTGACAGTTGAATAGCATCTGAGTCGGAATGGATGCTCCTTAGTTGGACAGCAGATATAAGAGCATTATCATGATAGTAATAGGAATCTCAACGAAAACGCTACTTTTCATAATAATACTGAAATCATATGAGATCTGATTGGCCGGGATGACATAGTTATTTAGATTAAAAATAATTTAATATAAATACAATTGACTGCAAAATAAAAATACTATTGTTTGTCAGTTGTATTTTTATACTTAAGAAATATTTAAGTCTAATGTTTTTGTACAATAATAAGATATTATTTGATCAAACGAATATTTCTCAAATAGTTGAATATAAATGAGAATGTTTTTCAATAATTGAATTGGTTCCATTATTTACATGTGTCTTTTTTGTAATAATTGTGCTCTTTTGGTTTTATGCAATCATTGAAGTAAAAGCAATTGGTTTTCAGCAAGTCAAATGATTGGTTCAAATAAAATTAAACCAATATACTGCAAATATTTCGTCAACCAGTTATGCCATGAATGAAGGCGTCGCCAATGGTCTTGTGTGCGGACTCACGAGGCCACCACTGCCGCCCAAACCGCGCGCGAGCAACCGCAGCCGAAAACAGCGCGAGCGCGAGGTACCGGATGTGGACTGGGAGCGCTCACTTCAACACTTCGCTGCCGCTGTGAGTGACGACTTGGACGATCTGCACGCCCGATTCCTACAAGAGGTCGGTCTTTAGTCTTCATAGCGGCTGTAAAAGGCATAACCAACGCGATTACACTCCTACACGTGCCTGACACCTCGTCTATCTCCAGAATGAGCTCACATTTGCTGGTTGGAAGCGGTTGTGGACCGATGCGAGGATGAGCGCCGCCTTCCACGTTGAGTTCTGGGAGAGCTCGCCCACCAACACGCACAAGACGATCCTGCAGCAGACGCTAGACGCGCTTGTCTGCTGCATCGAAGAGCGTGATGGTGTCTTCGAGAGCGCAGCGGACGTCGGAGCTCTGATCAGCCGCGTGTTTGCGCTGTACTGCGCGTACACGGTGCAGCTTGGCAATCCCAAGCACAAAATCGACGTGGATCCGCAGTCGTGGACTGCATTGCTTACAATCAACTTCGCCATGTGTGGTGCGGGATCTTCGCTGTTCCCGACGGCGGCGCGAGAAGTGAGAGCCATGATGCATCGTCTCGTGGTGGAAGAGAACGCGTTTCTCCGCTGTCTCCAAGGATTTGGACCGAGTGTTCGTGTGAGGAATCGTGTATTAAGAGTCCAAACTGCTGGAGTAGCGGGGGCTGGTCAAGATGTATCGCTCAGTGCAGCCAGTGGCCACGAGGAAGACGCCCCAGTAAGTGATCAATGCTCTTCCTGCTTGTGATCTCCAATAACTTACTCGTCATCTGTCTGGATAGGTTAAGAAAACCACAATGGAGCAGCTCAAGGCGCTTAATGACCGCTATCAGGAGCTCATGAGTCGGTCTCGATCTGCTGCTGCTGCTACTAGCGCTGGATTAAGTGGGCGACGGAGTAAACCTACGTTGTCGGCATCTTTAACGTCTTCGACTCAAGAAGCAGGAAATGGCGGACACGATTTGGATCGCGCTTTGGCGGAATATGTGGAATACAAAGCGAATGAAGAGGTTCGTAGGCGTGATCGCATCGTGCGTGCAGTTGTTGCTCGCAAGTACGACAAAAGCAGGAACATTCTCGAACAAACCAGCAGTGATGGCCGCAGCAACGGCCTGGATCGGAGTGATCGAAGTAGTGTCGCGTCTGTACCTCTTAGTCCCATGGCTGCACCTGCTTCCATTACGCGTGACCGCAGCGGCAGTGAAGATTTCTTGGCAGAGCTCGAGTCAGAACTGCATGCAGATATTTCAAGCGAACAAGTTGATCCAGCAACAACAAAACAGGCAGCCAGAACCAACCAGACTTCAATATTGAGCGAAATTAGTGAAGCGGACAGTGACGCCCTGGCTGATCTTGAACGGGAATTAGAGCAAAGCGTCGGCGCTGGTTTATCTCAAAATGGAAGGAAAACAAACCCAAAGAAATCGTCTTCTCCTGCTCGTCGGAAGAGAGGTCGATCCCCTGCCAATACTGTGTCCCGAGTCGAACCAACAACTACCCTGGCGACTCGAAGGACAACAGCGGAGAAACAATCCTCAGCCATCAGTGAAATCAGTGAGGCAGACAGTGACGCTTTTGCTGATCTCGAGCGAGAACTGGGGCACAGTGTTGAGCTTGTGTCGTCTCAAAAGGTACCAGAACAGCCATCGTCTCCACCTCAAAATCGCAAGCGGGGGAGAGACTTTGCTGCCCCAGGGATTCTCCCACGAAAAGCTGCTCGAACAGCGAGCTCAACACAAAAACCTGCTCGCCCGACACCGAAGCGTGCGAGGAGTGACTCTGTTGCGAGCACGATGTCTTGGGCTGCGGCTTCGATGGCTGATAGTGATGGCCTTGCTGAGATTCAAGCCGAACTGGATGCCATTCCCACGCTGGCAGGACCACTGGAGACTGCTCCTGTGAATCCCTCTCGTGGTCGCAAGACCCAGCAGCGTTCGTCCGACGGTATTGTACATCCCGCAACAAAATCAAAGGCAAAAACAAGAGTGAAACAACCGACTGGACAGTTCAGTGCTCGTGGCCAAAAGCGAAAACCTCAGGCTGTTGATGTAGACGATCGTCTGAATCACCAAGTGCAGTCCACGCATCAACGTCCAGAAAGGAGGACAAACGAGCCTAGCACGGTCGATGAAGTTTTACTTCGGAGATCGTCTCGGTTGAGTTCAGTGGCGTCAGAAGCAGACAGCAACGCGCTCGAAGAACTGGAGAGGGAGCTCAACGCTACCGCTGCAACGTTAGGAGCAGCCCCATCTCTATCAGCCCCAGCTCCAGGCAAGGCGACACCTCAAAAACGGAACGCACCAGTCAAACGATCAACTCGAAACAATACAAAGAAGCAACGGCCAAACGAGACGCACATTTCCATTGGCAAGCAACGAGCATCAAAATCAAATCCAAAGGCACCACAGGAGTCGTCTCGAATGAGTTTCGTGTCGTCGGATAATGAGAGCGATGGGTTGACAGAGTTGGTGGCTGAATTGGACACCGTGGCAACGCAGACGAGTACTACAGTGAAGCAAATGCGACCTGACAGAAGCTCTACAAGTGGGAAGAAGGCGACTGTCTCTGCATTATCTCATCGTGTACTGGAACCTGCCGTCCCCGCTGGCCTTCGACGATCCGCTCGCTTGAGTTCTGTGGCATCAGACACCGAGAGCGATGGGCTAGAAGATCTAATGGCAGAGCTTGACAGCACCCCAGCAGCTTCAAAACTTCCTACGACAAGACCTAGAGTCACCCGAAAGCAACAGACTCGTAAGTCGAAATCAAGCCAAGCAAAGGAAGGCCCAAACACTAGAAAACCTCGTGCTCTGCCAGCGCCGACAAAACAAAAACGTGTTGCAGTGAGGAAAGCTTCCACCAGTCAGGCAGTAGCAGCACCAGTGAGCTCTCGACGATCCACTCGATCCAGCTCTGCAGCTTTCGACACTGATAGTGATGGTCTCGCAGAGTTGGAGGCAGAACTGCAAGCAGGACCCACATAAACTAATTTCAAGACAAGACAATGGCTTGCCCCATTACTTTAAGTATAATTTTATGCGTTTCACACTCGTAGTTACCCATGGGCAAGGCAGATGATGTTGCAGAGGAGGAAAGTGTCGACCTTGCATGGCGCGTTGAGCTCTTGCGCGCTCTGATAACCGGAGACTTACCCAGTAAGTCGCGTCATTAATTAACGTTAAGTTCTGGTTATTCACCTCCTGCTTTATATTCGTAGATGTGAAGCGTGTGATTTTGACTCACATCGAGGCGATTTCAGCTCCGTTCACGACTGCCATGCCAGCTTGGACGCTTCAGTGGGAAGGGATGTACTGGTGGATGTTGCAAAACGCGACTCCTTTGTTCGTGGCAAGCGCATATTCACGCCCAGAAGTTGTGCAATGGTTGCTTCTCAACGGAGCGGATCGATCGACCGCTTGCTACTTGAAGCAGACCCCAATACAGATCGTCGGCGAGTGTTGTGCACACGCAGCTATTTCAGACAGAAGTCGAGACTCTAAAGCTATTGTAGCTGACAGTGCAGCATGCATTAGACTACTGGAGGAACCTCCATCGCTACCATCGCCACCAACAAACGATGTCTCTTTTTCAAGTAGCTATGCGTCCGAAGTGGTCATCACAACAACATCCGACATGCAGCAAACTGTGTACAAGTGTCTGCTGCGAGCTTCATGGCAGACTCCGCTGTCCAACGGCGCTATCATCGACAAGTACGAACTGCGATATCGGCGGCTGGCAAGTGAGAATGAAAGCGAGACGAGTACTGGTCAGGAGGACAAAAAGTCGGTGGGTAACAGCACCGTCACGTGGTGTTTGGAGAGCGTGGTGCACAACCGCAAGTCTCGTCAGCAGAGTGCACTGATAGAAGGTCTACAGTTCAACACAGTCTATGAATTTATGCTCCGATCGTGGAATGCTGCGGGCAAAGGCGAGTGGAGCCAGAGCTTCCAGACGAAAACTCCCGCAGTACCGACCCGGTCGGTAGTCGCTGTCTAGTCGACAGCTTTCTTCTTCGACCTCCTGTTACTCTTTCTCTCGACGTCAACCGCGTATGAATCGCCCACTTTTGCGAAGTGTGGAGAGAAACAGAATAGTCCAGCGCTCACTGCAGCAAGACACGCGGCACCGTACGCTGGTCCATCGATTGAAGCAATGTACGTCCACCCAGACAAAACTAGAAGAGACCATAGGTGAGACTCAAGAAGGAATAAACAACAATACTAAGACAGCGCTTACTTGGTCCGACAGTTCTGGAAATGGACTAATAAAACACAGATCAGAGCAAAACTGTGAACAACCTGAGTAGCTTTTTAGCATAATGATGCAGACCCACCGTTAAGGAGGAGGAGATGCCCATGAAGGCGCCCACATGCTCCTGCGAAACAAATGTGGTCTGTAACGCCACTGAACTAGCACGAATGATGCTGCAGATACAACACACAAGTTAGAGCCACCCACCGTAAGGCCTACTACACTCCACTTTACCTGATGGAAATGACTTGCGGCACCAGCGTAATGTACACTGCGCTGATCGTCGTGGCACTCGAGAGCGCAAAGAACGTCATCACGTAGATAATAGCAGACAGCTGCAGCACCAGCCTCTCGGACTTCACGAACTTGGTAACAAAACCCACCGAGAAGCTTCCGAAAAAGCCCAGCAGCCCCATGTAGCTCAGCATAAACCCTCGATCCTTCGAGTCCATACCGAATTTGTCCTCCAGCAGCACAGAAAAGTGAGTACGGTACAGAATAGCCGCCATGGACAGCAGCAGTCTCGCCACCAGTAATGTCTGTGCCGGTTTAGACTCGTTCACGATGTCGCGGAAGCCGAGAAGCTTCGTCCACGCGTTGTGCAGCAAATGTCTCCAGTCCACGTGATGGTGATGGCTCTCCTTCTCGTCCTTGTGTTCAGCCTCCACTGCAGTCGTTGGTATGAATCCCTGACCCCTCGGGTCGAGATAGAAGAACGACACGAGGCAGTAATTGACACCGAACAGCGCCGTAGTTAGCAGTGTCGTATAGTTGAAGCCATTGGGCACGGAGCTCACGTAGCCGCCGATAGCAGGACCGATAATGAAGCCGGCGTTAGCTGCTGCATTGAGACGACCGATAGACGCGGAGCGTTTGTCGGCCTCCTCTCCGTCTGTGATGGCCACCTTGATGATGTCCAGTGTGTGTTTGAAGAGCGCGGCAGGAATTCGAGAGAGCAGCACGATGTAGATATTCCAGGACAGACCTAGTAGTAGATAGCCAGTTGAAGTGCCGATGAAACACGCGAGCAGCACGCGTTTGCGGCCGTAGTGGTCGCTCAGACTGCCCACGATGGGTGCCGCGAAGAACTGGATGAAGCCGTAAATTGACATGAGCAGCCCGAACACCATCGCACCGCCGTCCATCGACTTGACGTACTGCGGTAGCGACGGGATGATCATCGACACGCCCAGCATGTCCAGGAACGACACCACAAACAGCACACGCGACGCCAACCAGCGCCGCAATGGCGGAGTTGACGAAGACACCATCTGCGGCGACCGTAATACGTGTTTTGAGCTGCACGCGTAACGTTTGGACTATATATTAATTTTGACCAATAATTTGTCAACAAAATGTAATCTATCCATCTGCATCAGCCGCCACTAGAATATCTGCGCATAAAGCTCCAAAGCTCTTCCAAAGCCATGGCGTCTGCACGCGTGACGATCGGTGCCGGCCGCCTCTCGGTGGCGGATGTGTGTTCTGTGGCTGCACTAGGCGCTTCCGTCGCCCTGGACGCGTCGATCCAGGCCTCCTCGTCCGCTTCTTCCTTCACGTTGCAGCTGATCTCTACCCCCAGTTCCTCCACGACCTCCTCGGCCGTGCGCCGAGCTGTACTAGTGCTGCTGCTGCACCGCCTGCTGCGCCTCAACTCACTGGAGAATGCCGAACACGTGGCCTCGCTGCTCAACCAGCAGGACAAGACGCCCGCTCAAGTGACCTCCGTAGACTTGCCCGTGTCGCTCTCGCCGGCCGAGCAGTTGGCCATCACCAACACGCCAATTGAGCTGCTGGCCGAGACGGTACTGGCCGTAGGTGGCGCCCGTGCGCTGCTTCCCGTGGCCGATGCTGTGGCCTCCGTGACGTGCGAGACGCTGCGTGCCGACTCGACCGCGTTCGAGGCCGAATTCGTGGACGCGGCCCGCCCTCACCGCGGCATCGTGACCTCAGCCCAGAATTTACGCCTGATGCTGGATGGATCCAAGTACATTAACAGCCAGAAGGAGGCCGCAACTGATGTGGCCGCCGTGCGCTGCATCCCACAGTACCACGGGCCTGTCCGCGACGCCGTTCTGAGCGCCTACAAGGCCGTGGAGATCGAGATTAACGGTTCTGTGGGTGACAGCCCTGCGGCCAAACGCGCTGGTGCTGGTATCCACCCACAGGCGCTGAAGACGGCGTTGTCGGCCACAACGGAGGCGCTTCACGTGCTGCTACAGGGTAGCGTCGACCGTCTCCAGGTGGTGGACCCTAAGGCCACGGACGCCCCCAATACGACGAACGCTGTGGATCTGGTGGAGGCTACGGTGGTCGCACTCTCGCGTGAGCTCGTGCCGTCGTTCAAGTTCTTTGAGGAGGAGGAAGCTCAGCTGAAGGCTCGTCAGGCGGAGAAGAACGCGAAGGCGCAGGAAGCGGCGGCCAAGGCGGCAGCTGCAGCTGCTAAGGAGGACGAAAAGCTTGCTGCTATGCCAGAGGCACAGCGTAACAAGATCCTCGAGAAGCGTCGCAAGAAACTGGAGAAACAAAAGGAGAAGGAGAACGCCAAGAAGAGCGGCAAGGACGAGCTGAAGCTTGGGCTGGGTAGTCAGGCCGTGCGTCAGTATCTTGTGGGTCTGGGTGACTGGCAGGCTGGTGTGCAGAAGTCGGCATTCGACTTGCGTTCTTCCAGCTTCTCGCAGTTCCTAGATGATTTATTCGTGCGTCTGGGCAGCGGAGGCGCTCGTCGTAAACCCAAGATCGCCAAGGGCTCGCAGGATTTCCTGCCCCATCAGATGGCTCTACGTGAGAAGATCTTCAACAAGATCCGCATGGTCTTCAAGCGCCACGCGGGTGTTGAGATCGAGACGCCTGTTTTCGAGCTCAAGGAGACGCTTACGGGCAAGTACGGCGAGGACAGCAAGCTCATCTACGATCTGGCCGACCAGGGTGGTGAGCTGTTGGCACTGCGTTATGATCTGACGGTGCCGTTCGCTCGCTTTATGGCCCTGCATAGCCCTGGCAACATCAAGCGCTACCACATCGCTCGTGTGTACCGCCGTGACAACCCGCAGATGGCCCGTGGTCGTTTCCGTGAGTTCTACCAGTGCGACTTCGATATCGCTGGCACATACGCGCCAATGCTTCCGGACGCTGAGGTGTTGTCCATCGGTATTGAAGTGCTGCAGCAGTTCCCAGAACTCGGCCCCGTGAAGGTGAAATTGAGTCACCGTCTGCTACTGGACGCCATCCTCGCTATCTGTGGTGTTCCTGCTGACAAGTTCCGTACGACGTGCAGTGCTATCGACAAGCTGGACAAGGAGCCGTGGAGCGAAGTGCGTCGTGAGATGGTGGAGGAGAAGGACATCCCAGAGGCGGTTGCTGACCGTATCGAGCCGTTCGTTTGCAAGGTGGGATCGCCGCGTGAGCTGCACGCGCAGCTGTTGAAAGAAAACATGTTCGGGGACAACGTCAACGCTCGTCGTGCCATGGACGACTTGGCGCTGTTGTTCAACTACCTGGAGGCCATGGGCGTGCTGGACTTCATCTCATTCGATCTGAGTCTGGCCCGTGGTCTGGACTACTACACGGGCCTCATCTACGAGTTCGTGCTGACGAGTCCGGAGCACCACGTTGGTTCTATCGCTGCTGGAGGCCGCTACGACAACCTGGTGGGCATGTTCTCGGCCACGGACCAGCAGATTCCGTGCGTAGGTGTCAGTCTTGGCATCGAGCGCATCTTTGGTATCCTGCAGGCTCACGCCGAGAAGCAGGCCGCTAACGCTGCCCCTCCGTCGCAGGTTCTGGTGGCCTGTACGGGCAACGACCTGATGATGCCGCGATTGGAGCTGTGCAAGCAGCTGTGGCTCGCCAACATTTCGGCTGAGGTGATGCAGACGGAGAACCCCAAGTTCATCAAGCAGCTGCACTACGCTCTGGAACGGGGCACGCCCTACATGGTGGTGATCGGCGAGGACGAGTTGGCCAATGGCGTCGTGAAGGTGAAGGACATGGCGTCGAAAGACGAGGTGACGGTGCCGCGCTCCGAAGTTGTGGCTGAACTACTGCGTCGCGGTTGCCCTACGACCAACACTCTCAGCATTTGAGACAGCAGAATAGAGCGGTACCATGAGGTCTCGTTGACAATGTAGTCGTTGAACTGAACCGGTTGCCATTTATTTCATTTATCGACAATTTGCACTTACAAACATTTTAACGGCGCTTTAGTTGACGGCGGCCGAGTAGGAAGACACGGTCATCTTGGCGTTTGATCCCGTGAACGGCTCGGTGCCGGCCTCTAGTGTGGTCAAGTACTGGCTGGAAGGGAAGGCTTGGGTTTTCACCAAATACGTGAAGAAGTCGAGCAGATCAGCGGAGAAATTGGTGATGGTCTTGGTGGCGACGAAGGAGTAGACGGTAGTGCTGCCGTTCGGGCCCTTGTACAGCTTGAAGCTGTTGCTGTTGATAGTCACCGTGGCGATAGCTTTACCTGTGCTGGAGATGGGACCAGCACCGCCGTACGCGGCCAACCAGATCATGATCTCGTACTCGTTGCTGCCGCTTGCAGTGGAGCTCGTGAAGAGATCGTAGGCGACGTCGGCGATGAGGGTGCCAGAGTACGAGTACGAGTACTTCATGGTTGTAGGGATAGTCTTGATGTTCTTGATCTGCTTCTTGGTGAAGACCAACGCCGCGTTCGAGTACGACTTGACCTGGGTCGGAGCACCTGCCCAGCTGTACGAGGTGTGCCAGGCGACGGTGGATCCGCTCACCTTGTCGACGCCTGTGCATTGGCTGCCGGAGGTGGCGGTATTCTGATTCCAGAGGTTGTTGTAGATGATGTACTTGCCGGCCTTGGACAGACGCCACTGAGCGCAGAAGTCGGCGGCAGACACGGGCAGCAAGACGGCGATGACGATCGCGATGAGAAAGCTCTTCATATTGGTGTTCGAATTGCAGGATAATGTAGAGCTCAAGGAAAAATGCTGAATGGGCGATGCTGTGGGGGTGAATTTTCGCTGGCTCCAGCAATATCTCACCTGTAGACCGCAGGCAAGGCGTGAATCTCGTCACGGCATGGGCATTGGCACGACGTTGACGCCTGACACCTTGATCCTTTACGTCTACATCCAGCTGTTTTCACATGTCAAGCATGTCAAAGCAGGCGAACATCCTTTCATCGTTCGAAGTGATGGATCGCTTGACCCGTGTATTGCCTCCCTATGGTGACCACACCCAGCTTGTAATTTCATATGCAACGGGGGTGGTGCTTTTTCGTGAGCCGGTCGCATCGATACTTTTGCATTTGCCTTTACATGTTGGTCGGATTGTCACTCTGATTTCGTAATGCACCAGCTAGAAAGCGATCGCAGAACATCGACGTCACGCCGATAGAAGCATCGGTAACTGTTTAACCGCGACGTATACGAGTTATTGTTGTTAGCCAGCTATTACTCTACTAAGAAGCGTATTCTCGCCTGAAGAATGACGTTTATGCATAATGTAAAACGAGGAAAGATGTTCACGAACAGCGGTCAGCGGCAACTTGCTGGCGCCGACAAGGCCCCAGCTCAGGGACAAGCGGTCTGATTGAAACTCCACGTATCCGCGACGCGTTATCTACTGCCACCTGTTGCAAGCACATCCTGTAGTTGCAGTGAGTAACAACCCCTATGACATCTTGACGCTCAACACCTCTTACACCCGCATGATTGCGGCGAGCGTTGACAGCACAGGACCCAGCAAGCGGAAGAGGAAAGCACGACGGCTGTCTTCAAGAAGAGTTCTAGGAGGGCAACGATTGCCATGGCGATTGTGCAGATAGAAGAGGACAACTGCATGTGCAATCAATTTGCTTCCGCACCGCCTCACTGCAACTGAGCAGTCAGTTTGTTGTAACTTGCGAGATAAGGTAGCTCGGAGTATTAAGGCTACGCGTCAACGTAAATCTTTTCAATTCATTTTTTTTTCGGGGTTAGGTTTTGTTGGGTTTTTTTTTGTTGGCTTGGTTTTTTTTTTTTTTTTTTACATTCTAGCGGATCATCTTAAACGGATACAAAATTTTGACCTACAACGACACTTGTGCATGAATTTGTCAAAATACAGGCTTTTGAGGCTGGAGGGGAGAATACGGTCCCTGTTGGCAGTAATACATCTTTGCCACATCCCTCCTTGAACGGGTATACCAATTGTACGTGTACATGTATTTGAATCTTCGACAAGGAACCTGGTGTACTACAATATACCGTCGCCGCCGCTTTGCGGTGCGCGTTTTGCCACCACCGTCGATCAGTGGACCGCCACCGGTTTCAATATTGTACACATCATACGACAGAACACTCGCCTCGACGTTGCCGAAGTAGAACTCGGCCTCGAATCGCCATCGATATGCCTATCCAAGCGAAACCTCAGTCAAAACCACGTTATTGAACCTTTCTCGTTCGTGGCCGTCGATCTCCCGGATGAGATGGTAGCGTTGGTCGCGAAATGTGCTTGCTCTGCCCGGCACAGCTGGCGAATGCGTCCCCGTTATGGATGTTGGTGCCATGTTGCAGTCTGCCTCCCACTGCCATGTGCATCGCCCTTGGTCAACATACGCAGCTCTCTGCCTTCTGCGTGTCCTGCAATCGGCGATCGCGAGGACACTGTGGGAAAGCTTGTGTTTTGTTGCACTCCGACGGCTGGGCAACTGAGATGTCGTGACACCGAGCGATGGTCTGCGCGTACACGCACTGAGTCTTAGAGTGCATGCCACTCCTCTTTCATTCTGCAACTTGCCTTGCCGCACTCAAGTTCACCAACCATCACCTCCAAGCTGCTTACGATGAAGGGACTTCTCGCAGGTACCATCGCTGCTGCCACCTTTGCTGTTGCCTCCGCTGGTGAATACTGCGGTCAATGGGACTGGGCCAAAAGCACTCAATACACTGTGTACAACAACTTGTGGAACAAGAACGCTGCTGCGTCAGGCAGCCAATGCACGGGAGTCGACAAGATCAGTGGCTCCACCATCGGTTGGCACACCTCGTACACTTGGACTGGAGGTGCAGCCACTGAGGTCAAGTCGTACTCGAACGCTGCTCTTATCTTCTCTCCCAAGCAGATCAAGAACATCAAGACTATCCCGACCAAGATGAAATACTCGTACTCGCACTCCTCCGGCACTTTCGTTGCCGATGTCTCCTACGATCTCTTCACAAGCTCCACTGCTACTGGCAAGAACGAGTACGAGATCATGATCTGGCTGGCTGCTTACGGAGGTGCTGGCCCCATCTCCAGTACAGGCAAAGCCATCGCCACGGTGACTATCGGCAGCAACAGCTTCAAGCTGTACAAGGGCCCGAACGGTAGCACTACTGTCTTCTCGTTCGTCGCCACCAAGACTATCACCAACTTCACGGCCGACCTGCAGAAGTTCCTGACCTACCTGGTCAACAGCCAGGGTTTGCCATCCAGCCAATACCTGATCACTCTAGAGGCTGGCACGGAGCCCTTCGTTGGTACGAACGCCAAGATGACCGTGTCGTCGTACTCGGCTGCTGTCAACTAAGCGACTACAGTGCAAATATCGCGAAAGGAGCGATATCATTTTCAGTTTAGAAAACGTACTTCGAAGTATCAGTCAGTGATGTTAACATGAATTGAGTATGAATGTTGAAAAATAGTTGCCTTTTCAGGAGTGATGGTCATTATGCAACCGCCACTTCAACTACCCTGATCAGCATGCAACGAAGAGCCCGTTCACGTGCTGCAGGGCAAGTCCCTGTGGCACCCTTGCCTACACAACCCCTCCGTTTAAGGCAAACGCAGTCTCGAGCTGCTGCGTTGACCAACGGCGCAAGAGAATTTCGTAAACTCTTCGATGATTCAGATGGTCCTGTCGAGGACAACAACACCCATGCACAGGACACAGCAATATCCTACAGCGAAGATCTACTGAACGCCTTCAAGCGCAAGACGCAAGAATTGTGCGACGAGACGCGAGAGCAGTATGAGCAGAAGCTTGAACGGCAAGAGGCTCAGCACGAGCGGCAGGTGCAAGTTCTTCAGCGTCAACTCCGAGATGTGGTCGGCTCGAGCGTCTCACTCGCGGAGCATGAGCAGATTCTTGCAACGGCAGTGAAGGAGCAGCAGCTTCAGCTTGAGGAGGCTCGTAGACGTCATCAATTCGAGACGCATGAGTTTAGACAGAAGTGGCAGGCGAAAATGACAGCAGCGAGGAAGCAAGGGGAGCAAGAGAAAGCGGAACTCATGCAACGGATCGAGCAGCTCGAACTACTGAAGAGCGAGGCTGCAGTTGAAATGAAAGAGCGCGAGCTGTCGGAGCTGCGGTGGAGCGAGAAGCTCGAGACTGTAGGCCGAGCGAAAGAAATAGTAGAACAACGCCAAGTTGATGCGACGAAGCGGCTAGAAAATGCTTGTCGGATTATTTCTACTCTAAAGACCCGCCTGCGCAACCATGAACGGGTGACACGCGACTTGGAATCGCAGCGAGACAAATTAGCCGAGGAGGTGATGAATTGCAAGGTGGCGTACGCTGAGCTCAAGGGCAACATGGACACTCGAGTTGCCAGATTAGAGAAGGAGCTAGACCACGCACTGCAGGCGGCAGCCAACGAAAAAGCCAATGAATGCACATTGCAGGTGAGCCATGCCTACCATACTGTGTTGCGACTTGCGAGGAATACAAAATAAGTGACTTGGGAGTCTATTCTACATGCTCCAGAACGAAGTTGAAAGGCTTCGCGAGCAAGTGCAGCGCCAGCAGTGCAGTGAATCGGCCAAGGAAGCCGAGCACAAGCAGCTTCAGACGGAGGTCGAGGCGCTGCGCAACGTGGTGCAGGCGAAGAAGAAGTCGGTCATAGAGGCCACTGAGCGTCTAAATGAAATGCAACAGCGTGACGCCGAGGCGCAGCTTCAACATCAGGTTCGTGGTGCTGAAAGCTCAAGCAGTGGCAATGACGAGCTAAAATCTAAAGCCTTGCTGCTTGGTATGGCGTTCGTCTAGGACCTGCGAACACGTCTGGAGTTGCATCAGGCGAGAGAGGCTTCATTGAAGCGCAAGGTACAGCGTCTAAAGGAACGCGTCGGGCAATTTAAGGCCGTCGTGGAGAAGTTGATCGCTGAGAACAAGCAGCTCGGCGAAGAGGCGAGCAACCGCGACGCGTCCACTGAGGCTTGGGCCAAGAAGCTCTTCGGGCGACAATTATAGTTGCAATGGAGCCCTGTCTTGTGTGCAGCGACGTCATCGAAATTAAAAGTGAGATTGGGGGCACCGACGAGGGCAACGCCAGCCAGCAACTCGCCATTCGAGAACCTTCTCGACACGTGTAGCCCCTCGCCACTAAAACTCAGGCAGCGGCTACGGTGGCATTCTCTTAATATGGCAATCGCCCCGCACATGTACGCACTAGTGGCATGCTCCTGCGCTTGAGAACGCTGCATTCAGCCACGGAGTGCATCTGCTGCCCCGAGATTGAGTGGCGGCGAGCTTCTAAGACGCGGAAGTCGTCTGACGTTTATTTCTTACAGTTAAATATAGTATTGAAGGCAATTTGTTATCAGACTTTGAGACAAGTCCAAATGCATTGCATCAGGGTATGCGATGATGGAGGTTTTCAGACTAGGTACGTTCTGGAATCGCCTGGTCGTTGTATGGTTCCCCTTTGTCCCCCCAGCCAAACGCGAGCCACTTTCGTTTCGGCAGCTCCGCGGAAGAAGCAGCTCGTCTCTTTATTTCTGTGTAAACCATGTCGGTGATCGGTGTGGACTTCGGCAATGTGGACTGCGTGATTGGCCAGGCCAAGCGCGGCGGCATCGACATCATCCTGAATGAAAACTCGAACAGAAAGAACCCCAACATGGTCTGCGTGCAGGGCAAGCAGCGCTTCATCGGCGAGGCGGCCATCAGCATGGCGCGTATGCACTACAAGAACACGGCCACGGACATCAAGCGCCTCATCGGCCGCAAGTTCAAGCACCCGGAGGTGCAGCAGGAGATCGCGCAGCTGGCCTACAAGTGCGTGGAGCTGGCCAGCGGCGACGTGGGTATCGTCCTCAACTACAATGACGAGCCCGTGACGTTCTCGTGCGAACAGGTCGTGGCCATGATCCTCAACAAGATGCAGAACATTGCGGCCGCTGCCAATGAGGGAGTCAACCCCGCCTACTGCGTGCTCTCATGCCCCGGATTCTACACGGACGTGCAGCGTCGCGCCCTGCTGAACGCCACCAAGATCGCCGGCCTCAACTGCCTGCGCCTCATCAACGAGCACACGGCCATCGCCCTCGCGTACGGTATCTACAAGTCGGCCCGCAACCTCTTCCACGAGTCGGAGCCCCAGCACGTCATGTTCATCGACCTGGGCCACGCCAGCTACACGGTGTCCATCGTGGCCTTCGTGCAGGGCCGCCTCACGGTCAAGTCGGCCGCTTTCGACCGCTTCCTGGGCGGACGCGACTTCGACATGGCCATCGCCAAGGACGTGGCCGCCAAGTTCGCCGAGAAGTACAAGACCAACCCGCTGGAGAACCCCAAGTCGCGTATTAAGCTGCTCTCGTCGTGCGAGAAGGCCAAGAAGAACCTCAGTCCCTACGGTGTCACGGCCACGCACTTGAACATCGAGTGTCTGGCTGACGACCGCGACTACAACTCGCAGGTGACGCTCGAGGAGTTCGAGACGCTCATCGAGCCGCTTCTAAAGCGTCTGGACGGCCCCATTGAGCGCGCTCTGGCCGACGCCGGCATCGACAAGTCACAGCTGACCAACGTGGAGATCGTGGGTGGCGGCACTCGTGTGACCAGCGTCAAGCGCCACCTGGCCGACGTGTTGGGCCTGGACAAGGAGCAGCAGAACTACGGACTGAGCACGACGCTGAACGCCGACGAGTCGGTGGCCCGTGGTTGCGCCCTGAACTGCGCCATCCTGTCGCCCATGTTCAAGGTCAAGGAGTTCAGCGTCACGGACCGTGTGCACCTGCCTGTGCGTGTGTCGTGGGACGGCAGCGCGTCGACGGCCACCGACGCCGCGGCTGATGACGACGAGGACGTCAACATGGAGGCTCCCGCTTCGGAGGACAGCTCGCTGGTGATCTTCACCCGTAAGGACGAGTACCCCAAGACGAAACGCATCACCTTCCGTCGTGACAAGCCCTTCTCTATCGACGCTGTGTACGATGAGTCGGCCAAGACGTATCTGCCTCCTGACTACGTGATGGACATTGGCAAGTTCACGATCTCCGGTATGCCTGCTCAGGAGGCTGGCGCGGAGATCCCCAAGATCCGTGTGAACGTGCAGCAGGACATGAACGGTCTGTTCTCAGTGTCGTCGTCGCAGTTGATGCAGGAGATTAAGGAGGAGGAGAAGCCTGCTGAGGCTGAAGGCGAGCAGAAGGAGGGCGAGGACAAGAAGGAGGACAAGCCTGCTGAGCCCAAGAAGAAGCGCTTCCGTAAGATTGAGCTGACGGTACAGGCGCAGGTCGGAGGTCTGTCGGTTGCTGATGTGACTACGGCCACCGAGCAGGAGCTCAAGATGGCGCAGCAGGACCGTGTGATCGAGGAGACATTCAACAAGCGCAACGAGCTGGAAAGTTTCGTGTACGAGATGCGCAACCAGATCACGGACAAGCTGGCCGGCTTCATTACTAGCGACGAGAAGAACACGCTCGAATCGAAGCTCATGGAGACGGAGGACTGGCTGTACACGGACGAGGGCTTCGACAGCACCAAGTCGGTATACCAGCAGAAGTTGGACGACATGCGCAAGTTGTCTTCTCCCGTCGAGTTCCGTCTGACGGAGAGCACGGAGCGTGGTGTGGCTCAGGCGGAGCTGACGGCTGTGCTGGAAGAGTACAAGCGTATGGTGAACTCGGGCGACGAGGCCTACTCGCACTGGACTGAGGAGGAGAAGACCAAGCTCCGTCAGACGTGCGTGGACGCCGAGACGTGGCTCTTTGATGGGCTGACCAAGCAGGCGGACCTGAATTCGACGGACGCCCCCATCATCACGTCGGCTGCCATTCGTAGCAAGATTGTGGCCGTGCGCGCCGTGGCTCTCCCGATCACGACCAAGCCCAAGCCGCTCCCGAAGGTGGAGACGCCCGCTGCCCCCGAGCCGACTGAGGCGGAGGCCGCCCCTGCTGACGAGAAGGAGGAGGCCGAGAAGATGGACCTGGACTAAGCTTTCCCAGCGACGGAGAGAGCAGAGAATCAGGCTTTTTGCATATGACGCGTGCTGCTTGCGGTCTGTGCGCTCGAAGTAGACGCGCATGCAGACCAGCAAGTAGGCAGGCAGCACACGTGCTTTCGTAGTCATCCCGGTAGAAATCCATACAAAAACAATCTTTTTCGTTGAACCCATGTCGCTATTATCAGGTCGTTTTTTTAAACAGTAGACAATGCATGTCCTTATTGACGAGAGCTTATACCGCGAGGTTGGAGGCCTTGTTCTCATTTAAGTCCGAATTGAAAAGCTCCATTCATCTTGCAAGCGGTAGAGCGCTCGATAAATATGGCCAGGTACGTTGTCTTCGTCGGTGTCTGTCGGCTATGTATGGCGTCGTATAAAGTGGTCATGGTGCTGATCGGGTGGACAAATGACTGACGCTTGCAACTATGTTTGTTTCTTCTTCATACGCCGCCTGTAGTACCGGAGAGAGCGAGTTCAAGCGTGTGCAGGAGGACGAGGAGGAGTTCCAGAAGGGTCCGCTCTCAGTGCTCATGCACAGCGTCAAGAACAACTCGCAGGTGCTAATCAACGTGCGTAACAACCACAAGCTACTGGCGCGTGTCAAGGCCTTCGATCGCCACTGCAACATGGTGCTGGAGAACGTTAAGGAGATGTGGACCGAGGTGCCCAAGGCCGGCAAGGGCAAGAAGGCAGCCAAACCCGTCAACAAGGACCGCTTCGTCAGCAAAATGTTCCTGCGTGGAGACTCGGTCATTATCGTGCTACGGAACCCGCACGCTTAGAGCCTTTTATTGCAGCTGGGAGCTGATCGGAATAGACGTTGGGCACTCAGCCACTTTCTCTTTGGTGTGCTTATCCACAGCATGTGGCGGAGACAACGTCCTCTGCCCTTATCATTCTCTACCTTCTTGTTGATCCGTAAGGCTAATTTTATTTGGTCACAGCTCAACTTGCTCACCTGCAGTACCCATGTCATCGCTATTGGAGCTTCCATCGGAGCTGCTGGAGCTCAACGTGTGTCAGTGCCTGGATGTCGTTAGTGTCTCTCAGCTCAGTCTCGTGAATCGCAGCGTACATCAGGATATCACGCACTGTTCCAAGCTCTGGGAGACCCTGGTGGCCCGTCACTTCGGCTACGTGAACAAACCGGCGCAGGCCCAAAGCAACAGTGACAACAGCGAGATCAGCTGGAGAGAAGTCTTTATTGCGGGTTGGCAGGACTATTGGATGTTGACCCCAGCCACACTGCAAGAGAGTGACGTCCTGCACGTGTACCACCAGAAGTTACGACTTCAACCTCGGGAGGCTCAGATCAGACAGGAGATTGTGCTCATGCTGGGACTACGACGAATTCCAAGCAGTGTGAAGCTAATTCAGCTGTACGCAAATGTGATTCGACAGGCTCATCTCGTTCCTCGTGTGGGTGCTGCCAGTACGGCAAGGGCTCTGCGCAGATTGGCGTTGTAGTGGTATCTGGGCGATGAGTGAGGTCTATTGGATCCTTTCAACGACGTTCATCTACAGCAGCAAGAATCAACTTAAAGTTCCAGAATTTGCAGTCGAATCTCATTTTGAACGAATTTGAATCTTAAAAAAAAAGTCAACAACAACTGTGTCGACTTGCATGATCTTGAAAAATGAAAATGCAGAACGTTACTTAGTAACTATTATCTGCGAGTAAACTGTGCTACACACGCAGACAATCCACGTAGACGACATAACGCACAAAATAAACTGGTGACGAGCGTTCCGGTATCTTGCCAATGCAGGTCAAGGTTGTCCTCTACACGAGCTTGCGCTCCTTACAACTCAGAGAAACACTTTACTCCTCCAATGCCCGTTTTTGAGGAAAACTTATCTTCTTCAGTTCCTCCAGCTTCTGAAGAGCATCCATCGCAGTCGGCCGTTGAGACGGATCTTCTTTCATTAACGCCTTTCGGAATGCAGTCCTCTCTCCACCGTCACCCCACAGTTTATCCATCCCTCGAAGTAAATAGCCGACCGACCAGCTATCCACTGCCGTTGTGTGCTTAACGTTCGTATCGTGTATCTCCGGCGCATGACTGCCAGGTCTTAAATGCTCTTCACTCGATGAAACGGCCGGACTTTGTTCTACGTTCATGTAATCAATGAGGAACCACGAGTTGGAACCATTACGACGCCTCATGACGTTTGCCCACCGAATGTCTCGGTGCATCCACGAGGCATCATGCAACATAACCAAAGCCGCCAAAACGTCACCGATAGCACCGAATAATTCCTTGAGGTTTGCAGGCTTGGTATCGATCCCTCGAGGAGTGAAGACCATTCTTCTCGTATCGTTGTTCGTACTCTTTTTAGCGATCCGAGTTTTCCCCATTATTGGCTTGTAATACCTTGTAGACCACCTCCGCTTCGGAAGATGCATCGAAAAATTGGTGAGGAAAACATCTTCGTCACGCGAGTAGATTCCAGCAGATATCGACCCCGCTAGACTGGTGTAGCAGCTTGTACTCGTCAAATCCAGTATTGGGGCATAAGTTAGCGAGGGCTGGTAGAAGACGACTCATATTCAACACCGCCAGCAGAAGATCAAAGCGACACGTCTCGCTCCCGATGTTGTACGAGCCAAGTCGCTCTCTTCGAATTTCACTCGAATCGGTTGACGCGCGTATGAGTGCGTACAATGAACCGATGGAGGCATCGGTCTCGTAGCCGAACAAGTACAGTAAGTCTCCGTGGTTCCATTGAACCTGGGCAAACTTTCTGGAACGAGGACCGTCAACGGGAAAAGACTTCCAACCTTCCTCCTTTCCATGAAGGACGCACACAGAATCCAGATTGACGACAAAGTCTGGGGTGGCGGGTCCACCGTCTAGCGGTATTTCAATTGAGAATCGATTGATGCGTCAGAAAAAAACCAGCACAAATTCGAGAACGCGTCGGATGCAGTCATCCCAGTTCGAAGTATATGACGTCTTGTGTGTCCGTTGCTGTTGGAGTAAGAGCACGGTAACCGATTTGAAAGAGGAATTCCGAGTCTGTTGCTTTAAAAAATCTTTGCTGCATAATAATTTTTATGGTGGTTCAGAAGTCCTCTATTTTACCGGCAATTCCAATTCAAGAAGAGCTCTTTAGGAATACCGATCTTGGCAGGGTAGCTCCTTTTAAGGGCATCCCTCCAAGTGTAAGTCCACCCTTTGTCGAAATTGGCATAATCTTTTTCTGCGTAGTTCGACGGTTCACACCGCGCACTATAGTATTAATAGTTGGAAACGTGATAAATCCAACCGCGTTGCTCCCAAGAGAAATTTGTAAAATGACTATAAAAACTTTGCCCTTGCTGTTTCTCTTACCTTTCCCAGTCGGATGCTTTCAGTCTCGGAAGCAAATAGTTCATACCCATCAATCCTAATCCGTCAATCCTAAAACACGCCCAGGAACCTTTTTCCAAAGCATCGTCTTGCCATTATCACTTGCCTTTGCACCAAATCCTATAAAAATAATAAACGGAAACAACGAATTCAGTTCAATTTATTCAGTCACTTCTGTCGCGACATCCACGTAGACTTCTTATCGCCATCGTCGAGCGAGCGCTCACTCTGCTTTGTTCCGCACATTCGTGTGCTCGTTTAACCGGGTGCCCACTCGTGCGCATACGGAGGCGCGCGTGGGTGAAACAACCTGTAGTTTTGCGCGTTTCCGTGTTGCTTGATGCTCTAGTGATCGACCCACATCCTGGATGTGTGAAAGTTAAAATTGTTTCGATCACGAGCGGAGGTTTCACCGTCTTTTGACTTGGCCTCTCACACCACTGAGGAAGGTGTGAGGAGAGACTTGGGCTGCTGCACCACTTGCTTCTTGGGCGAGTTCGACAGATCGACTTCTCGCTCCGTCTCGCGTGCATCTGTCAGCTCATTCTCGTCCTCGCCATCACTGCTACTGGTGCTTGTGCTGTTGGGCGCGTCTTGGTCGGTGGCGCCGCTCTCGTTGACTGCAGCTTCTGTTACTGATACATTGTGAATGGGACTGCTTCCAATATCGTCGAGAGAAACCTCGACTGTCGCTTCTTCCGCTGCCTTGACGGTATGTGCAGGCGTCTGCATGATCTCGATGGCAACTTCTGCTTGAGCACTTCGTTCGTGCTCAGAGGTGGATGCTGGGACTTGTTCAACTGATACCGTCGGCATCGGAGGTAAGGAAGTAGGCAACGATGCGGACACAGTCGTTGGGATTGATGCTCGTTCCAAATTCGATGGAGATACCACCGCATCCAGAGGTGTTTCTGAAGCCCGAGATTCGTGTGCTGTAGGGGCATTCGAAGGTAGTAGCACAACTGGAGACGTTCGGGGTTGCTCGGTCGAAGTCGATAGACTTGCTGGGGCAACAAGAGAAACTGGAGCAGGTGGCACAGCCACTGAAGCAGACACTATAGCAGGTGCAGAGACCGGCGCTGATGCAGACACGCTGGTTCTTGCCGAAGACGATGCTGAAGTCGAATCAGTTCTAGAGAGGCCGTGCGCTCGGCTTGGCGCACTGTTTACAGCAGCAGAGGTCGGTACAACCGGGTCGGGGATGCGAGCATCCGGGTGGAAAGCGCATACATCCTCGAAGATCAATTCCTGCAGCTTCTGCTTCGTCAGGTCGGTATTTTCAAAGGCGAAGTCGAAGGGCGTCGGGCATGTCTTCTCAACAGTTCGATCACGCACCAGACTCAAATACGGGTGTGCGAGAGCTTCTTGGATCGTGATTCGCTTACGTGGGTCAAACACGAGCATCTTCTCAAGTAAATCCAGACATTGTGGGGTAGCACGTGGATACACGGACGAGAGCGGCACCTTCGGCTTTTTGGGCTGACGCAAAATAAAGCGCTTTGCCTTCGGGTTGGTAATGAAGTCCAGCGAGTCTTCAGACGGAGATCCGACCACGTCCATAATAATCTTCAGCTGGTGGAGATAGTCGTGGCCAGGGAAGAGAGGTCGCCGTCCCAGCATCTCGGCCAAAATGCATCCAATAGCCCACACGTCCATCTGTTTGTCGTATTTGGACGACAGCAACAACTCCGGAGCACGGTACCACCGCGTAACAACGTACTCAGTGAGACCCGAGTCCATTCCCTGGATTCCTCTAGCAAGACCAAAATCGCACAGCTTCAAATCGCAATCCGAGTTGACCAGAATGTTGGACGGCTTCAAGTCACGATGCAGAACCTCAGCGGAGTGGACGTAATTGATAGCCACCAGCATCTGGTACAAAAAATATTGCACGTGGTCATCACTAATCGACTGGTTTGAGTGAATAACGCGATGCAGATCTGTCTCCATGAGATCTGTCACAATGTACACGTCGTTGAACTCTTGTAGTGTCGGCGGACGCAGCAGATCCAGCAGATTCACCAGGTTCGGGTGGTTCAGGTGACGCATGAGACGGATTTCACGAAGAATTCGCTTGGCATCGATGAGATCGTTAAAAGCATTCGGAATGTTCTTAATGGCGAGCGCTTGACCTGTCTCCGTGTCGCTGGCAGCAATCACACAGCCATACGCGCCTTGACCCACAGCCTTGATCATCTGATAGCGCTTCGGAACGTCAAAGTTGGTGTTGCCCACTCGGAATTGATGGTTATCACGCTTCGTATCGCGGAAAGAGCAGCCACGAGCCAGTGCAACACGATGACTCATCGACTGCACCACTGCACCTGACGGACGAACCTGCGGTGTCGGGGCATTCAAATCCAGACTGGGTGAGTTTTCATCAATACCAGTACGAGATGCCGTCGCACGAGACATCGCAGCGAACGAAGCCATGGAGGCTTCGAAGCTTATGCTAAGCTGTACTCGTCCACACGTAAACTTCGTCTCGTTTGCAGAGAGTAAAGTGTACCACTGCGGTACAGCACCACGGGCGATATCTGAGTGAATAACGCTCTCCCGAACTGTTCGCGACGTACTGGCCAACGCCAGGAACGGTGCAAGATTGACCTTAGCGACACCAATCACTCGCTCCGAAGCCTTACCTGTGCCATCACTGTCCACTACTTCCCACGCTTCAATCAGGATAAAGCAAGGCTTGCCTCTTGATGATCCTGCGAACGGAATCTCGTGCTTGGAGTTCCATTTGGGATTCCGAGCTTCATCTGGGTCACAAGTGCGTGTTCGAGCCACGCAGTTGGCAGAGGAGGTAGGAGCATACACGTTTGTCTTCCCATCGGTCACCAAGCGCAGTCCCAGGAACACACGGCGATTCGACGGTCGCTTGTCATCGTCAGCTTCCGATCCGTCCGTCTGCTCTTCGTCGTCGATGAATCCCTGGTCTGAAATCTGCTCCCCACGGAACACGACGACGTGGAGTTTTCCTGCTGGATTGTCATGGACTGCGTTGCCCACAACAGCCGCCATGGGCAGCGACAGACTCGACGTAGCACTACAGCCGAAGACGGCCGAGGCTGCGATTGGGTCTGCCGAGATCGTGAGACTCTTGACGCGTCCGTCCGGTGCGAACTCGATCGTGTGCTGCCATTGCTGCGTGAATTTACGTCCATTGTCTCTGTTCTTCATGGTCTCTCGTCCTGCCACAACAGCGGTGCATCCTTCCTTGGCCTGAGCGATATCTGTCACGAAGAAGGCCGTGATCTCCACAGTCTCGTACAGGATGGAGAAGAAGTGCAGTACACCGTCAAGACCGTGATACTCGCCCCAGAAAGGCACAGTGGGCGCGTAATTGGACGTAAGCACGACGTCACGCGAGAGTTTTGGGAAAAACTGCGGCGACGACGAGTGCGAGATGAGCAGCTGGCGGAAGGCGAAGTAGAAGCCGCGTAGATCCACCTGTGTGGGGGACGTTTGCATCTGCAACGCCTCCATCCCTTCCATGGAGAGTCGACTGTGTGCATGTCGAACGCCTTCCTCAATGGCTGCCTGCATCATCTCGACCCACATGTCCTTCTCCAACTCTGTGGTGCAGCACAAGTGGAAGTGTTTGTGGCCCTGTGTCTCAATGAGGAAGCCGTGCGCCTTGCCGTAGTTCTCAGGTCGCACCTTACTGATAATCATGCGACCGCGCAGGTTGCGCGCACTGCGAGCCTCCTCCTTAGAATTGTAGTATGTGAGTGTGGCTCCATCCAGGATGAGATAGCGCTCCTCCCAGCGCGGCAACCAGTCCCCTTTCTTACGTACATATCCCTCCCAATGAACCTCGTGTGTCATGGCGGCGGGTGTAGAGGCTGTGGACGAATCCACGAGTAGATCGTCCATGTTGTTGTTGCTCGTGGTGTGGCCGTTGCTGCTGCTGGGCGGCGCGTTGATGTCGTCACCACCGCTCGTGAGCGCTCCAAGTAGCAGGTCGCGCCCCTGAGCCGGTAGTTCCGCCGCGGACGCGGGTGCGGACGGCTCCATCGCGCGAGAGTGATTGTCGTCCAGCTTGCTCACTTCCTGCTGTCTTGCGCTTCCGTGACGGACTGAATCGAAGGCGCCACTCCCCGTTTCTTTCCCTGCTGTAAATAGATCACGACGGCACAATCCCGAAATGAGCTATCTTTCAATGGCATTTATCTTGGTCTAATTAAGTTGATAACCTTTTGAAAAACTGAAACGACCGATAAGCTACCGATTTACAACTATTACTGCTACTACTTAGTGCAAATATTACTACCTTTGAGATTATAGTACTTACAAAGTACTTGAATTGTAGCAATAATTATAATAATTATGATAGTAGTATATGTAGTACTAACCATATTATTATGAAAGCACCTCAAACCCATTGATCTCTTCAAGCTATTCGCCGCTCTCTCTCGCTCGCACCTCATGGAACAAAACAAAGGTGTACGTATCTACTGCTGTTGCCAAGACCCACCGGGAGCATGGTTATGCTGCATTTGCGACCGCAGGGTCCATCACCTATACGAGCTGTAATCTACAATTTTAACCTATCAAATGTAAATTAAGTTTCACTGAGACCGTACATTTTCAATGCAATGCTAATAGAGAATATCAGCAGGCTCCAATGGTACCCTGAGCCTGGATTTTCGGGGCAATTCTGAGGAGCCTGCAGTAATCTTGTTGCTGCAGGTCCATCTAGAAAAGGGTATTCTCAACAGGTTCTCGAAAGCACGGGATTCGGTACCAAATCAATGTTTTAATAATAGTAGTAGCTCTACAACTAGTAAAACGCAATAAACTAGTATACTTTGTGCATGTATTACTACTTTAGTATCCAGAGTTTCAAATACTACTTTGATATGTAAAATATTTCCAACTGTTATTTTTAGTTAAAAAATATTGTGGCATCTTGTCATTGACAAAAAAGGCTTTTGACAAAGAGCTGAAAATCAAGTCACCACGCGAATGACTGCAATGAGCTTAACGTTGAGATAAAAGCTATCACTAAATCCACGAGTTGACTTGGGTTTCTTTCCAGGTTCATCTTTGCCTCTTGAGGCTGAGTTTTCACTGTCATCTTGGTGCCAAAATAAAGTCCTACCCTCCATTTACTTTTAGCTCACCTCCGCCTTCTGTCAAGTTGAAGTGAGTTGAATTGCTGCTGAGAATGGACGAACCACAGGAACTGGAGCTGCCCGACGCGGATGCCAAGGATGATGGTGCCTTCGAAGCACTGGTGGTCGTGAATCACCACTGGCTTGGTCGCTACGCTCGACTGCACCCGAGCTTCAGCGTGGAGCCGTCGCTACTGGAGCACAATAGTCTCTGGATGAACGCCTACTTCCAGAAAATCCGCATGGTCACATCAGCTGCATCTCCACAGGCCAAGAACCTCATCAAAAAGCATCGAGAGACGGTCATGGAACGACTACGCTCGGCCCCGTTGCCGCACTCCGAGTCTCCTTTCTCCACGTGCGTTGTGGACCCTATGGCCGCCCTTATGTTTGCCTCCTCCATCGGTCGATGTCCGCACGACAACTTGGTACCAGCAGCAATTTATTATAGAAATCTACTAGTGAAACTCAAGTATTGTGCTGTGTGTAGGAGGATCTGTTGGCTGAGGCCTGGGAACTGCTCCAATGTGCGTCGGTTCGAGCACACGCCCTCCAGTCAGGTACGAGTGTTCGGTAAAAGTTGGTGTCATTTTGGTTCAGTCGGTTCATGGCCATTATGGCAGGCTTTGCGAGCTGCGTCTTCCGATTCTTGACGCTCTTTACGGAATCACAGAAGCGAGTAGGACTTGCAGCAGCACCTTCTGTGTGTGCCAATGTTGACGACTCGAATGTGACAAGGCTTTCCGTTGTTCTTTTGTTGTCGTCGTTGTTGTAGATTCCGTGCTTACGACTACTAGTGCTGCTCGCTGAAGAGGACAGCTCTGCTGTTGTGAAAGCGTGCAAAGTTGCTGCCCAGGGACAGTTTTGGCAGCCCAACATGTTTGTGTTATCTCTGCAAAAACGGCACCAAGACAACTCGACACTGTGTGAACTGGCCGCGAGATTACTGGCGTATTTTTCAGACGAAATGCCCATTCAACCGTCGATTGTTATGGATCAGTCATTTGATTCAGAGGAGACCGGTCCATGTAGAGTTCCCACGGCTCACACGTCCCCATTGCGATCAGACAATGGAATCGCTCTTCCGCTTTTGACAAATGGCCATCATCGACCGCTCTTTTCACCGACAACAATGTCCAAGTTGTACCAAGAATCACCATCTCCATACAACCCACACATGAAGCTACCGTTGACGCGCCCACCTACTTCACCGGCTGAACAGATCCGACGCGCACAGATTTTCAGTATGCCTAAACTTGCGGCCGTAGAAGGACAGAGACAGTATCGCTGCAACACTCCTAATGCCCCACAGTCTCGGATTGAGCGAAGTATGAACGTCGAGCCCAGTCGGACACTTGACCCAGTATTCTGTTCACCCCCTCAAAGCCCCAATGGTTGCAGTCCAACTAAGCCTAGAGTTACCGTCTCTGAGAAATACTCGTGGAATCCTGAGTGTATCAATTCAGTGAGTGGATTCGAGTGGTGGTGGCGGTCACTGCCTCAGAATCACGCAAGCCTAGAGCCAACTCAAAAGCTGAAAATGGTCACAAAGGCTGCTGTGCGTTTACATTCGAAAGGAGACCTACAACACGCTATCGAGTTGTATCTGCTGGCATTATCATCAGAGACCAACGACGAAGTGAAGTTCAGGTTGCGTATCAATCTGGCTTGTGCGTACGAAGCAACTAACGATCTATCAGCGAGTGTAGAGGAATTCCGTCATGCATTGGAGCTGAACCCCAATGACCCTTACGCGATTTATAAACTTGGAAGTGTCTTGGCCTCGGTGGGTGAATTTGAAGAAGCTCGAAGGCGTTTTGAGTCGATTCTCGACGAGTATCCTCAAGCTGTAGATGGGTTGAAAATTCTTGACAAAGCAGTAGAGACTCACAAACAAGTAGAAGAGGTCAGAAAAGCTGCAATTGAAGCCGCGAAGACACGCCGCTCGCCATTGAAGGTCATATCTCCAAGAATTAACTTTTCAACTCCGAGAGAACCGATTGCTCCCTTAGCGCCAGTTGCTCAATCACCAGCTCCTCGAAGGAAGAAAAATCCAGCACCAATGCGAGAGTCCCCACCTTGTAGCACTGAAGCAAGGGAAAAGAACGAACGCGTTGCGAGGCCTACAATCGATACCTCACCTAAACCAGAGACGATTACAGTTGCTACAGCGACAGACACTCCAAGTCTGCTGGAAATACTGGTACGGCGCTGTCAAGAGGCTCATATCGACATGAAGGAAGTTCTAAAACAATTAGATCCTCAGGCCCGGAGTTTGGTTCACAAGGAGAGTGTCACAAACCTTATTCGGGTTATCACTGGTATCGACGTGAGCAGTGAGGATCAATTGGCTTTAGGAATATCAGCAGACGACTGGGTGACCCAAGAGAGCCAAGATTTCCTGCAGTATAGAGGATTTCTGAACGCTTACATTAAACAACATAAAGTTGAAGCAGAACTTCTGGTTTCAGGCGACATTGGACGAGTAAAACGCTTGATTGATGATCTCATTCGGAACGACGTGGCCAACTTTTCAAGTCACAATGTTTCTGGGTGGGTGCGGTCGGGAAGCGAGAGAGCTGCTGCAGAATTACACCGGAACTCTTCTTCGTTAACGACTCTAGAATGGAGTTCCAATGAAGGTGAAATTACTGCAACAGATACAGCTCCGAAACAGTCCGAGTTGGGAAATTGTACGGAGGGTACGCAGAGTGCACCCGACCTGCACGCCAGCGAAGAGGATTTGTTCACTCCTCGTACATGCGCTAGGAAGGATCGAGCACGGGAGGAGTGGCTCTTAACTGCAGAAAAGGCTCGAGTCCTCGCTAGAAGACAACAGCGGTGCATGAAATCTCTCCGGGATATCGCTGCTCGAGCAAAGGCACATATTGCGTCGCGTCGGAATGCCGTGGCATATCTTCGTTTGGTTGCTCAGAACGCACAGGACGAAATGAAGATGCGGAAATTACGGTGTGTGATGGCACAAGAAGAGGCTGCAGAATTGTACAAAGACCACAACGATGAAGCGCAATCGAAAGATTCCACAGAGCTTATGCCGGGGTCTAATGACGCAAATGAAGGAGTTCATCGGAAAACCGTTAAAGAACTCTCAGAGGAAACTTATCATGCCTCTGTACGAACAGCTATGGCTCGAGTGTGTCAGAATGCCCAACTTGAAGATTTAAGGACCGTAGTTTCTCGCTTTGCAGCCTTCTGTCAAGTGCCCTCCTTCTTCTCGGATATCCAAGCACGCATCCCAGATGGAAGAGGACAGCCAGAACTTGCTGAAGCTGCAACGACGGCGCGACAAAACGAATAGGAAATGGATAAGTTGGCAACAAGCACAACTGACTCATATGAGTGCTTTCTTCAGATTACAATAATACTCGCTGCATTTCCAGCAGCAGCCACAATTGACTTCACGCTCTGTACCTCTACTTCCAGCACTCACGGGTTGTACATGAAGTCGTGCAGGTATTGCGCCATGTTCTCCGGCTTCGGGACGGTGGCAAAACCTTGTTCGTAGCCCTGTAGATATCAACAAGTACGTCACAGTGTCTGTTAGTCTGGAGGCACCACCAGCAGCAAAATGATAAATACGTACGTATTCGGCGACAGCCTCTGCGATCTTGAGAGATACTTCCCGAATATTGGATAACGGCGGGTAGACGCATCCAGTCTCCAGATCAGCGGGGGTTGTCATTCCAGCCAAAGTCTTGGCGGCAATGATCATAATCTCGTCGTTCACATGAGTCAATCCGGCAGCGACGACACCCAGGCCAACACCAGGGAAAATGTACGAGTTGTTGCCCTGACCAGGAACACAGAGCTTGCCATCGACTTCAACGGGGTCGAAAGGACTCCCACTGGCAAAGATACACTTCCCATTGGTGAACGTGTAGGCCTCCTCGGCCGAGCATTCGGCCTTGGATGTGGGGTTGCTCAGAGCGAAGATGATGGGGCGTTCGTTCAGCTCGCTCATTTTCTGGCAGACTTCCTCGTTGAAAGCTTTAGCAATGGTACACACGCCGATAAGAGCAGTAGGTTTGATGCGATCCAAAGTTTCCAATAGGTTTGGACATTCAGGGGCGTCGTGTGCATACGGGAGCTTGTGTGGTTGCAGCGAATCCTTGCGAGACTCCACGACCAAACCACGCGAGTCCACCAGCCAGATATGCTTACGAGACTCTTCCACGGACTTGCCGGTCTCACGGGAGATTGCCAAGGCGATCAGGTCGGCAATACCTGTACCAGCAGTGCCAGCACCCAAAAAGACAAACTTCTGCCCCGAGATCGGCATACCCGAGAGCGGCACGGCAGCCAACAGACCAGCAAGCACAACGGAGGCCGTGCCCTGGATGTCATCGTTGAATGTGCAGTGCGTGTTCTGGTACTTCCGCAGCAACGGGAAAGCGTTGGAGTTTCCAAAATCCTCGAACTGCAGCAGCACGTTGTCGCCATACTTGGCCTTAGCAGCGTTCATGAACTCGTCCACGAGCTGCTCGAACTTCGCACCACGTTCACGTTTCTGACGTAGACCAATGTAGAACGGATCGGCCAGATATTCTTCGTTGTTGGTGCCGCAGTCGAGTACGACGGGAAGGCACATCTGAGGCGGCACACCGGCGCAAGCCGTGTATAGCGATAACTTGCCGACAGGGATCCCCATGCCATTGGCGCCCTGGTCACCCAGACCAAGAATACGCTCACCGTCCGTGAAGCAAATGGCACGAATATCCTTTTCCGGCCAGTTGTCGAGGATCTCGGCGACGTGCCCGATGTCGTTAATGGAGATGTACAAGCCGCGCGGAGTCTGACGGTAAATGTGGCTGAACTCCTGACAGGCTTGCCCGACGGTGGGCGTGTAGACGATCGGCAGCAGTTCGACCGTGTTCTCCATTAGCATTCGATAATATACGTCCTCGTTGGTGTCTTGCATGTTCTGTAGAAAGATATACTTCTCCAAAGGTGTGCTTTTACGACGCAGCTGCATCATGGCACGCTGTGTTTCGAGCTCGATGGAAGTGACGGCTACAGGCAGGAGACCGCGTAGCTTGAACGCCGCTCGCTCCTCCTTGGTGAAGGCTTGACCCTTATTGGCAACGGGTGTGCGCATGACAGCGAAACCAGACTGTGCCTGCTTTTCAGCAACAAGACATAATATATTAGCCATGATCCTGAATATCGGAGACCGTCAGTGTGACGCACTGTGGTACAGTCCTCGACAGCTATGTCAGCTTCGGCGGCCGCGAAGCTCGCAGGCCGCTTGTTTGCGAGCTTCTTTAAAGCCGTAGTGGGTGTTTCAGACGCGATGAACGAAATTGCGGCGCGGGCGGTGATCGGCTTGTGCCGGTGGAGGACGGCATTGCGAAGGGTGAAGATCATTGTGGTTGGGACGAGGCCGATTGAGAAGTGAGCTGGCCAACGCGTGTTGGATCAATCCATGCAACGTGAGAATCACGGAGAAAAACGTCGAGCGCCGTATGGAGCTTCGACTTTGACGTACCCAGTCTGCGGTAATGGTCGTGTCAATCATCGAAAATGCAACCGCAGAAACATGCAACTCTGCTTGGTTTTATCGAGACCCCGTTTCTAGCAACGCCGCTATTTGCGCATTCACACTTGGGCGCCACGAGAAAATGCGTTTGGGGACAGATTGGGGGACAGAATGTCAACCGACGCGGATAGCCTGTCATTCCCGAGCGGGGGCCGGTGACTCGACAGCGTGGCAGTCAGCGATTCCATTCCAGCGAGAGCCACAAGAACGGCGAGTGGAGCTTATCCTGCCTGCTTGAGGTGAGATTCTCGGCAGCACCACTAAACGTCAGATTTGCACTGCGACTGTTGAGCCAAAACGTCATTGTATTTCTTGCGGTGGTCATGGATACAATAGAAAAAATCGGCATCCACGGAAACACCGACGGTACTTCCACGGTGGGATCCAGATAGCGGCGGCGCACAGTGAAACACACATTCGGAAGACCAGCCATAATAGGATATACATGCAGCTAGCCGCTTTTGTCAAGGTATATGGTGCTTTAAAAAGGTAGAAATTGTAGTTATAGTCTTGGAAGAGATTATAGCAGTTCTTCTGCAGCAGCAAGATTGGCAGACTGATCTACTTCAACGTCAACAAGCGTGCACAGCTTTGCAAATATGGTGATATCTGCCTCGTCACAGGTAACAGTGAAAGTACACACCATGACGATCACTGGAGAGCATCAGTGCTGAACGATGTAACCACTCCTCCACCCAGTTAACCCCTCTAAGGGCGTACTCTAGCATAAAGAAACTCATCCCAACGGAAACTCTGGCGTTGTTCACAAGTTTTCGCAAACACCTTCAGTACATCATCTTCAACACAACATGAATTTGCATCTTGTATTCAAACACATACTGGAGAGCGTGGAGGCGTGTAACTTGCGCAATGCTGCAACAGTGAGCTTGTCAATTCACGTGCGACGAACTGGTAGCACCAGGGATGCATTTTTATCTTAAGCAAAAAAAAGATAATTGGTTCTGGCTGCTGGAGAAGCCTCAGTAAATTATTGGATTTTCTCAAAACTGGAAATTATAGGATGAGAAATTTACTGTCACCCAATAAATTATTGAAACACCTTCTAAAAAAACGTTACAGCAATAATTTCGAGAATATTTTTCGGCATCTCAGTCTGGTAGTGCTGCCGCTAAGACAAACAAGAGCAAGAACTCTGAGTCCGAGACTGCTAGTACATGCGTCAAATCGCCGATAGCATTGATGGCAGAGGTGATTACAATTGAATTATTGAAACAGTGCAGGGGAACTTAAGAATTGAATTATTTGTATGGCACCATTGGTTTACATTTTTTTTAAAAATATATTGATTGTGAAGTAATATTTCAATATGTTCGTCTTCATTCTTACAAGTAAGGGCATTTGTTCGCGCAGATTGCATCTTGTTAGCTTGACTCTCTAACCTTTAGCGCAAAACGCTATACAGTACTGGGTGGGTTTTGTGTGCATGCTTATCTGTTCAGGAAATTCAAAATATATGTAGTTAACTGAATTGTTTATTTTGGTGAATTCGGGCTTTTATTAATCCAGCATTCTAATTTTTTCACAGCTCCTGCCTGGAAGCCTGATGCCGCATGTACAATGCCGAAAACGTCCCCCAGCAGCATGTGGACATTTCGCTCGCAAGCGAGATTTGCACAAGCTCGCTCTCAAATCCAGGGTCTTGGACACTTGAAGCAAAGATACGAAACCACCCTTTGGGCTGCTTGGGTCGCAAAAGGCATTCGTTGCACTGCCACGGATTCCAGTACATGTACCTGGTGCCTGTCCAGAATTGATAATTACTGAAGCTACCGAGGCGGTGGACGACAGGTTGTGGCCCATGACAAACTTCTGCGTTGCGTAGGCGATTGATTATATTTGCACCAACCTACATTGGGCGGTACATCCTCCATGGCGCTGAGGGCCATCCTTTTCGATGTCTGCTTGGGGTCCCAAGCGTCTCTTCAAAGAGTTAATTTGAATTGGCAACATTCAACGTCAAATGCACAAGTTGTGCAGCACAACACTGCCGCATGGCGAGCGCATGTTGGAGGCAGTGCAGGCACTGCTCGACGACGAGGTGCTGGCCAAGACGGCGGGCATGACGTCACCGGCGTGGCACTTGAAGCTGAGGCAGCATTGCGCAAATCGCCGCACTAAGTGCGCCATTCGATTGGCGACAGCATCGCGTAGCCGAGCTTCGAGTCGAAATAGTACGTGTAGCTCTCGTCTTAGAATGCGGAAGACCACTGCATGCATTTGCCGCTCGGCACCACTTTTTGCCATGAAAGGATCTGCCACTTGCTGGCGGTGTACTCAGACACTTGAAGCGATTGCTCATATTGCACCAGAGAAACACGTGGCTGTAACTGGTGCCATCATTTCCATACAGTTAAATACAAATCCCAAATATAGACCCTGTGCATCCGATCTTCGAAAAGTGAATCTAAGTGCTACGTACCCCTGAGCAGACCATTGTCCAACTTGCCCGGAAGCCCTCCCGATGCTCTCTCCTTCGCTCTCCAGCACCGTGTCCGGCTCCGTCGTATGGCAGAAGAACCGCCCGGTCGCGGCCTTCCACCCCCTCGTGCTTAGCGCCTATCGCAGCCCCCGCGTGTACAGCCCACTGGCACTCAGCGCTAAGAACGAGCACAAGCCCGAGCGAGCAGGCGTGAAGCTGCTTGTGGGTGCCGGCGTATGCCTCACGTATGAGTTCGCGCTTGGTCACTACCTCGAGTTCATCAAGATCATGAAGCAGACCAGGCCACAGTTCTCGTACCTGCATCTGACCAAGGAAATCATGCACGCCAAGGGTGTCGTGGGTGTTTGGGACGGCTTCTTCCCATGGGGAGCCCTGCAGGGAGTAGCCAAGGGCTCCGTCTTCGCCTGGGGTCACTCTGTTGCCCGTACGGCACTCACCCCTTTTGTCAAGAACGACAAGATCGGCAAAGGCACGGCCGAGGTCATTGCCGGTGGTATCGGTGGTGGCTTCCAGGGTTTCGTGCTCAGTCCCACGCTGCTGCTTAAGACGCGCGTGATGACCGACCCCATTTTCCGTGAGCAGATGACACCGCTTGAGACCATGTCACGCTCCATGCGCATCGGTGTCAAGGTTATCCAGAAGGAAGGTGTGGCTGCGCTCATGAAGGGCTCTGGCATGTTCTCTGTTAAGCGTGTTGCCGACTGGTCTTCGCGCTTCTTCTTCTCTGTGCAGGCCGAGAACATTGTATACAAGCGCAACAACCCGGACCGTGTTCTAACGACGAGCGAGCAGGTCATTTCGTCGCTTATTGGTGGTGTGTTCAGCGCGGCGTTGACGCTGCCCATGGATGTGCTAGTGGCACAGATCCAGCAGGCGTCCAAGGCCGGCGTCAAGGTGCCGGTGGTGGAATTGTTCCGGCAACAGTACCGTGCCGGTGGTCTGAACCAGGTCTTGTCGTTTGGCACTACGGGCTTTGTGGCGCGTCTTCTGCATGCCAGTTTCACAACGATGATCATGAAGACGGCGACGAGCGTGGTGTACGACATGGTGGAGGGCCGGAATTAGAGTGTCACTTACTTATTCCAACCGTCTTGTCCCTGAGTTCCAGCCGGGCACGGGAACTTCGTGCACAGATAGAAGACGACTCCAGTACGTGCCGAATAACCGAAAAATCTATTGCTAATGTTGAAGTTGCCATGGTGCAGCGGTCTACGAATCATTGTCGGTCGGTTCTGTTGACGTTGTAGGGGCAAACGCAGGCGGCATGAACTGCGGGTATCGGTTGAGGATATAGTTCTCGGCCTTTTGCATGCGTTCGTAGTCGTCGTCCAACTCGTGGTCGTATCTGTCCCGCATCACCATGATGCACCAAATTTCGTCAGTCGATTAGGTACAACAAAACGCTCCTCCTCGTTATCATCGCGGCTGTTCTCACCCCATCAAGTGGCAAAGTCCGTGTGCCATCAGCACCGGTAGTCGCTCTTCCAGTGTTGTGATCTCTTCGAGCTGCGGGTCTTCGCACTGACGTTGCACGTATGCCGGGCTAATGTAAATGTCCCCTAGATATCGCTCCTCCCTCAACTTGACGCGTGGGAATCGCCCGGGCGCGCGCACCTGCGGCCACCGCATTTAACAGTCGAGGTGAGCCCTTGCGCAGGGGTAATACAGGCTGAGTTTGGCCTCCTACTTTGTGGAAAGGGAACGAAAGAATATCGGTTGGCTTGTCCTTCTTGCGGAATTTGCGGTTAAGCTTTTGCACGTGTTTGTCCGTCGTAAGCATCACGCCCACGTCCCTATGTATTGAGAGCCGCACAGCCAGTCGTCAGAGATCGGAGACCACAAGAGGAAACGCTTCCGGACACAATTAATTATTGTCAGTTGCTACTCGTACCAAGGTCCTCCGGGGCAGTTGATACAGCGCACCATGGCCTGCACTTGCGCCTGCAGCTTGGCCAACGCACGCGGCGATAGCGCTGCGCCAGTACCGACTAGCGCTTTCGCCACCTGCACCATTTTCCGCTCGTATAAAAAGAAATGAGTTACTGCAGTAGTATTTCTTTTTCAAATGACACAATTTTTTCGCGTGTGACTTGGTTAAAGTAAGAAAAACAGGAAACTAATTCATTCAAGCACCAATAATTGCGTGTCAGGCGTAATGCCGCAATTATTATTGTTGCTGATGATGGCGACTTAGTAGCGATTATTTGCTAGCGAACTATCTTCTAGAACAAAGTTGGCGATCAATGACCACAGACAAATTTTGAAGCATGTCGTATGGATCTAGGCAGATCAACAAGCGCAGTCCCGAGAACATGTAGTGGGCTGCTTTGCATACCCCTGTTAACAGTGCTACATGCATTGAACAGTGTTCGATCGATAAACACGCAACCAAAACCAATTGAACTCTTGAACATACACAAGAATAATTGGTGGAGTTGACTGTCAGTCTCCACCAGTCTCTTGCCTATGGTTTTTGCGGTTGATCAAACAGCACGAGATGTTGCAGCAGCATCTTTCCAAGCACCCGTCTCTTACTTACCTGCCTCGATCGGCCGCGTTTGGTCGTGAGATCAACACACTTCAGCAGTCCAACGCCTTGCGCTCGACACTATGTGGATCTTTCGTTTATTGCGTGCCGATTTCCAGCCTTTGGATCGAGTGCGTTCGCTGAGTGCTGCGGTGGGGACTCCCACTCACATTGTTTGGCGACTGAAGCCCCATCCATGCCCAGTGAGGATCCGCTGCGAGGGAGATCTCCTAGCGGGGACACGATGTCCGGTAATGCCGGACCGGCACGGAGGAACTCCTGCCAGGAGCTCGGAGCTCTTGCTCACTCAACCTGAGCTGCTCGCGGGATTTGGATCACGATTTGGCCGCCCGCTGCTGTCCACTTTGTCAGTTTTCTAATCCCGTAGGTGAATCAACAACGTCGACACCACCTCGTCAGCGCCAACGCGACTGCAAATCGGAGTGTGAGAATGCTGGTGGTCTTATCATGCGTCTCCTCCAGGTTGATATTGCGGAGGTTGATGCTGTTAGCAACAAACAAGGGATTGCTCGCTTCATGTATAATGGGTCTATCAAAGTTGCCGCTGTCAACATGTACGTGGCGTTGATCGCAAGATGTCATCAAGCATTGCGTTTTCGTTGCACTGACACCACACGGAATACGAGGCTTGCAGCTGTGTTGTCGACTTCTGCTCTTTGATAAATAGACTATGAAGGCAGCTTAGCATCCACTGTCGCGAGCTGCTGCCATCATCGCTAACAAATGCAGGCATTAGATTGCGCTTCAGCAAGCGATGCACTCTGCCAAAAAGTACGCTTCGCTCGCTCCTTCAGTTCTGAAGCTCGCAGCGACTGCAGCCTCATACATTGGACTTTGCGGGAATCCTGAATCGCTTGCGTTGCTAGTGGACACCGCCAAAACAGAGCCCTAGCACCAGATCACCTGCCGCACAACCTAGCCTCCCGCCGTAGCGATTCCACCTGGATAAGACTTAGCTCAAGCTCTCGGCAGCAGTACGAGTAAAATAAACTATCCTAGGCGCGCAGCAACTCCACAGGAAAAAGAACGTGGTCGACAGCGCTGCTTGAAGCCGTCCTAGGAAACTGTCCCCAAAACAAAAAGTCAGAATGGTCCCCAAAGCTACGTAATCGATCTGTTCACGACGTTTGCACAAAGCCAGGCTGGTGGTGACGCGGCGACGTGGACTGAGCCGTTTCGCGAAACACCCAGAGGGTTATTTTGCGATGAAAGGGAAAATCCCACTTATGTGGACGTGGGTGAAAAATCGGTTGGACACTCTTCACGCACATTGTTGAAGTCAAATGCGCCCAAGCAGCAAAGCAAAGTCCGGACAAGCGCCAATCTCGGCAACGACAGTCGCAGTCAACGCGTCCCTCTTCTGCACTTCACCAGTCACTGCGCTCCACGTGTCGTGGAGCAATGGCTGCTCCGACGTCACTCCACTGCAAGTTGACATGCAAAACTGCGTAGGAAGAAGTGTCGCTACCGCAGTTTTGCCGAGTGCGACGAGCTGTGCACCAACCATTCGTCATCGGAACATTTGCAATTGCTGCGGTGGCTCGCAATACCAACAAGCGAATCGAAACGCTAACCATTGTCGAAGCGAAGATGGTGGCAAAGGGAAAAATGGAGGTGTATGTTTGTTGTCCGGGAGAAATGAAGCTACCGTGAGGGCAGTGTCCGCAGCGAATGTCAATGGAAACGCGCGCCATTATCAGCCTCAAGGGGACCCAAGCAGCATGTCCCAAAACCCATCCCCCGGCTTTGTGCGATTTTGAAAAACCCGCATCGAATTGAAGGTGGGTTTAGAATCGTTTATGCACGGTTTGTGAATTCATGTGACGGAGTAAGATACTTGTAAATTGTATGCTTCTTACAATTTCCAAGTAATTCCCGTCGCGCCCCTTCACACCAAAGAGTAGAAATGTGCGCGGTCTCCGTCCACCGAGCCAAAAACTGACGTGGCTTCGAGCGCCTGCAGTGCCTTTCATTCCTGTATTTGCCACTTCGTGCGAACTCCTTCCTCTCTTCTCCACATTGACCGCATTCAAGATGGCCTCCACCGGATACACCACCATGCGCACGCCCATCACCAACAAGGGCCTGGCCTTCACGGAAGAGCAGCGCCAGCAGCTCGGTCTGCGTGGCCTGGTGCCGGCCGCCGTGACCTCGACAGAGTTCGAGACGGAGCGCGCCATGGCCGCCATCCGCCGCAAGACGTCGCCCATTGAGAAGTACATTTTCATGCAGAACATGCAAAACACCAACGAGGACGTGTACTACCGTATGCTCATTGAGCACACGCCCGAGCTCATGCCGATTGTGTACACGCCCACCGTCGGCCAGGGTTGCCAGGAATTCAGCCACATTTACACGCAGCAGCCTCGCGGCCTCTTCATCTCGGTGAACGACATCGGACACGTCGCCGAGATCCTCGACAACTGGCCGCAGAAGGACATTCGTGCCATTTGCTTCACGGACGGTGAGCGTATTCTTGGTCTTGGTGACCAGGGTGCCAACGGCATGGGTATCCCCGTCGGCAAGCTCGCGCTATACACGGCTTGCGCCGGTGTGCCGCCTCAGATGTGCCTTCCCGTCGTACTCGACTGCGGCACCAACAACGAAGAATATCTGGCCGATCCGTTCTACATTGGTCTGCGTCAGAAACGTGAACGTGGTGCGAAGTTCGAGCAGCTCGTGGACGAGTTCATGAACGCTGCCAAGGCCAAGTATGGCGACAACGTGCTGCTGCAGTTCGAGGACTTTGGCAACTCCACCGCTTTCCACCTGTTGCGGAAGTACCAGAACACGCACTGCACATTCAACGATGACATCCAGGGCACGGCTTCGGTTGTCCTTGGTGGTCTTCTGGCTGCTGTGCCTCTGTCGGGCAAGACCATCTCGGAGCAGACCTTCCTGTTCCTTGGCGCTGGTGAGGCTGGTACCGGTATTGCTGAGCTGATTGCTCAGGCTATTGCTCAGGAGACTGGTAAGAGCGTGGAGGAGTCTCGTAAGCAGATCTGGCTGGTGGACTCTCGTGGTCTGATCGTGGAGTCCCGTAAGGAATCCCTGCAGCACCACAAGCTGCTGTTCGCTCACGACGCCCCCGCGTGCCCTGACCTTCTGTCGGCTATTGAGCAGATCAAGCCTACCGCTCTGATCGGTGTGTGCACCATTCCAAAGACCTTCACCAAGGAGGTGTGCGAGAAGATGAGCGAGTTGAACGAGCGTCCCATCATCTTCGCTCTGAGCAACCCAACCTCCAAGGCCGAATGCACGGCCGAGGAGGCTTACACGTTCACGAACGGCAAGTGCATCTTCGCCAGTGGCAGTCCGTTCGACCCCGTTGTGTTCAACGGCAAGCGTTACGTGCCTGGCCAGGGCAACAACTCGTACGTGTTCCCCGGTATTGGTCTTGGTGTCGTCGCTGCTGGCCTGACTCACGTGAACGACGAGATCATGATCATCGCTGCTAAGACTCTGGCTGGCTTGACCACCCCCGCAGACCTGGAGACTGGCTGCGTCTACCCGCCGCTGTCCAACATCCGCAGTGTGTCGCTGAAGATCGCAGAGGCTGTGGCTGAGTACGGCTACGAGCAGGGCTTCGCCAAGGTCCCCAGGCCGGAGAACCTGACCCAGTACCTGGCTGACTTCATGTACAATCCCTAAGCGCTCAGTGCTTGCGCTGCAGTAGATCGCAGCACAAGGTCCGCTCGAAAGGATTGAAACCAGTGCGTTCGTTCTTTCCGGCGGTAATTAACGTCAGTGTTTTTGAAAGTTGAATGCACTTATATTGAAGATCAACTGCGTTTCACATGCTTGGCGTATGCACATTTTCACTCGTCGCACAAACCGACACAACCAACATGCACATGCACTGTTCTGGCCGCTGTCATTTTTCGTCTTTTGCCATTTCACTCTGACGAACAGCTTCAACATTATCAATACAACTTTCAAGTGTGGCATTTATTTTGCATTTCAAAGCTCAGCAGCCTTTACCTCCGGCCACACGCATACACGACGTTGGCTCGTATACCGAAAGCGTATGCACCGTCGCCACAAACATGAGGCTTAAACCTAGTAAGACTAACAAGCCCACAGCTCGAGCTGTTGATGTACCGCTACGAGTTTTCAGCGCGCGTGACTCGTTGGCACTCTTGGGAAGTGATAGCAACCAGAGCAGCGATAACAACTGCATCCCGTACGCGATGAGGAACGTAGCCATGATTTCCTCCCGCACCTCGGCCGTGTCGGTCATAATGTCCTGGTTTGTTACGTCAAACTGAGCATCTATGTACTTGGATATAGCGAGACCCAGTGGACCAGCCAGGAATGACACACTCGTCACCAATCCGCTCACGGTAGCACGCCTACTTGGGTCCACCGTTTCGGTCAGCACGAAGGTCGAAATGGTGTAGTCAAGAACTGACGGGATCGCCTCCATCACTGGCAAACCGATCCAGAACCACTGACTGCGCACGATGTCCCAAATCGTGAACATTGTAGCGCCCAAATCCAGTGCTAGCACCACCACAGTGCCCACGACAATGACAGCACGGTAATCCACGCTCCAATCCTTCTTGCCGACCCAGTTGAGAGCCCATAATACAACAATAATGGCCACGAAGGACACGACAGTATCGTTCAGAGGCTGCACTCCAGCATAGTAGAACGCGACCGGATTCACTGCCGTAGCACTCACTCCGGCAAAAACACCTCCGGCAAATCGACACAAGAGCACGCGGTTGAGTCCACAGTTTTGCATGAACCCCCAAATTTCGCTTAGTGACTGACGCAGCGAGTGACGAACACGTGGGGATTCACTCACCGTGAAACTGAGCGAAAGCACAAGCAGCAGTGAGGTTATCCCCGTTAACAGCATCACCTGAGTGTATTCCAGCGTAAAATCGAAATCTCCGCCATAGTCCCATCCGCTCATGCCAACACCCATGAACAGGAAGCTTCCTAGCATGGCAAAGACCCGGTACTTGGTGATTACAGGCTGAAGCACCACGTCTTCGTCTCGCTGAGAGCTAAACACATCGAAGTGGTGCGTCGCGACATCACGGATCAATTCGTCAGCTGCGACGTCTGCCAAGACATACCCCACCGAAGCTATCGACATGAGCATAACGTAGAAGGCGCCGTGTGACGGAGCGTCAAGGTTAATGCTATTCATCTGTTGCGTTGACAACTCGCTGAGTGGTGTACCGACCAGCTCGCGGTCTTGGAAATAAGGCGTTGGTTGATCCTGGAAGAAGATAGCGATCAACGCGACAGCCGTCACCGTCCAGCCTAGAATCATCGTAGAACGGAGACGACAGCCGCTTGGTAGGGGGAAACAGTGAGTGAATAGCGTGAACACTGGCTTAAGAGCATACGGAAGTCCCAGTAGTGTGCGAGCTGAAAGCGTCTGAGTGCCTTCCATGTTGATATTGCACGTGAGAAACGGGTAGACGCAGAGCGGTAGGACGGTGCTGACGATGCCGACGACGATACTATGAAGCACAAGGCCGCTCCATCTTCGGTCCCAAATGTCTACGAAGGGTTGTTCGCTTTGACCTGTGGCCTTTTGAAGGTCGCGGGGTGTAAGTTGTTGTGAATGGAGTGGAGATCCTAACACCGTGAATGCGCTCTCGGGCGTGATTTTGGTCTCTTTCGCGTGTTCTGGACCATGGTAGAATTCCGCTGCGTGTTCGTGCTGGGAGAGGCTCCAGCGCGAGAGCCTTTCCATGAGGTCTTTCGCAGACGGATCGACGAACGGGCCCATGGATCGATGGAGCTGTATTCTCTACTGGAGAACGAAGGTGCTACGAGTGGTGCTAGCGTTGGCTGTCGATAAATTGTCGAATGAGAAGGGGGGTTGCTTACTGCGATTGTGGCGTGTTTCGGTCCATTTGATGGCAGCCGTAAAAATTCATCAGATGGGGAATGCAGATTCTACCACCAGACAGCTCTTACTTTGGCCAAGTAATAATACAGCTTGCACGTATGTAGCGCGCAGTTTACTAAGGCGAAAGCTTACGGGGTGGATTAGTTTTCCGTAATATACAACGTGCATTTGTGAACTTGGACAAGACGGAGAAGACACCAATGGCTAAGTCCCAAAACACCATTGCGTAGCATTAAGAGACCGGAGATCGCACTCGCTAAAAAAAGTTCCTTCATTGACCGAAGCGATACTATGCTTCTACTATAATAGAATGGACCTATGCTCATATTAGTCACGTTGAGAGCTAAAAAAAACCGCGTGAACACGTACAAATACACGTACCCTAAAATGTCATTGCTCACGTGGGTTTAATTGATTACTTACACTCCAGCGTAATCATCGCCCGTCTCACCGATGGACACACCAATCCTAGCACCCAGAGCCACCAGAGAAGCTCAGACACGCCGTTGGCTCATACACGGAGAGCACGTGAACCGCCACCACAAAAGGCAATGTGGCACCCAGAAGCATCAAGAGACCCACGCCATGGATCGTCGAAGTGCCGCTACGAAGCTTCAGCTGCTGCGCTTCGCTCGCATGCTTCGGCAAAGCGAACAGCCACAACAGCGACGCCAATTGCATCGTGTACGCAATAAAAAACGTCGCCATTATTTGGTCTCGGACTTGCGTCGTGTCCGTCATGATATCCTGGTTCGTTACGTCGAACGACGCGTCCATGTACTTGGACAGCGCAAGACCCAGCGGACCACCCAAGAACGACACACTAGTCACCAACCCGCTCATGGCTGAGCGAGCGCTTGGATCCGTCACCTCAGTCAACACGACTGTCGAGATCGTATAGTCTAGCGCCGACGGGATTGCCTCCATCACGGGTAAACCGATCCAGAGCCACTGACTGCGCACGACGTCCCAGATCGTGAACATCGTGGCGGCCACATCCAGGGCGAGTGTAGTGACTGTGCCGACGACGATTACGGTACGGTAGTTCACGTTCCAGCCCTTCTCGTCAACCCAATTCAAGACCCACAGCACCACACTAAGGGCCACAAAAGACACCACAGTGTCGTTCAAAGGCTGCACACCGGCATAGTAGAAAGCGATCGGATTCACTGCAGTAGCACTCACACCAGCGAACATACCGCCCAAGAACCGGTACAGCAGTATGTGGCTTAAGCCGTTGTTGGAGACTAGCGACCAAATCTCGCAAAGTGCCTCACGAAATGAGCGCCGGTCTCGCGGAGTCTCGCTCACTGGAAAGCCTAGTAATGACAACGGAATCAATGCGATCAGGCCCACGATCAGCATCACTTGCCTGTATTCCAGCGTAAAGTCAAACTCTCCACCATAATCCGTTCCGCTCATACCAAAACCAATGAACAGGAAGCTTCCTAGCATGGCAAAGACCCGGTACTTGGTGATTACAGGCTGAAGCACCACGTCTTCGTCTCGCTGAGAGCTAAACACATCGAAGTGGTGCGTCGCGACATCACGGATCAATTCGTCAGCTGCGACGTCTGCCAAGACATACCCCACCGAAGCTATCGACATGAGCATAACGTAGAAGGCGCCGTGTGACGGAGCGTCAAGGTTAATGCTATTCATCTGTTGCGTTGACAACTCGCTGAGTGGTGTACCGACCAGCTCGCGGTCTTGGAAATAAGGCGTTGGTTGATCCTGAAAGAAGATAGCGATCAACGCGACAGCCGTCACCGTCCAGCCTAGAATCATCGTAGAACGGAGACGACAGCCGCTTGGTAGGGGGAAACAGTGAGTGAATAGCGTGAACACTGGCTTAAGAGCATACGGAAGTCCCAGTAGTGTGCGAGCTGAAAGCGTCTGAGTGCCTTCCATGTTGAGATTGCACGTGAGAAACGGGTAGACGCAGAGCGGTAGGACGGTGCTGACGATGCCGACGACGATACTATGAAGCACAAGGCCGCACCAACGTCGATCCCAAACGTTCACAACCGGTTGTTCATATGGAGCGTCATTCCTCCCGATTTCCAAATGGCCCAGTTGTGACGGCTGCCCATTTTCACGTGGAGATGCACTTACCCAAAAGAACGATCCTTCCGACGTTAATTTGCTTGGAATTCGTTCGTGACGCTCACTGCCGCTCTCTGCGTCCCGTTCATGCAGCGATAAACTCGACCGGGAGAGTCTCAGCACGATGTCCTTGGTCGACGGGTCGCCTAGTCGACTCATTCTCGTTCGTCAACTTAATGAATGCATGATCTCCATTAGCGAGAAGTTCCGATGTTCTTGTACAACCAGCACAGCGCAACGCACTAAGCAGCCTAGAAATCCACCCAAAGAGGACTGGTGGCGTGCCGTATTCAATCGAATCGTAATCGAACAGATGAAAGAATTCATGAGCTCGATGTTCACTGCGATCCACATTTGACTCTGGAAATTTAAATCCTGAGAAGGGGAGAGCTAACTAAGCATAACCAACTGCTGATTCAGCGTGCAAGCTACCCGATCACATGTCGTCATCCTGCAGGGACGACACGAACCTGGCATCAACATTAGGGTCTTTGCCATCATCCACAGCCTGTCCAACCATGTATCAGCAGCCCTAAAAGAGCGGTTGCAACCGCCTTGTGCTTGTTGTTATTGCTGGTTGTGTAGCCTCTGAAGCGCGTTCCAGATTGGCATATTCCCCGATCAAAAATCGAGCATTCTCTTGCGCTTCGTCTAGTATGTCAGCGTCCATAAACTCGGTGTAGTGGTGCATGTGCGCCTTGCGGCTGTAAAGTTTGTGGAAACGCGTATTCAAACGCTCAAATGTTTCTCGGATGCAGCAGTTGTTGGATAAACAGAGTAACGACGACTTCTGCCCCACAGGAGGCACCGAACATATCCCCACCTTGAAGCCTTCCTGGTTCCAATGGATCATACGCACCTCGGACTGCATACGCTGGATATTCGAGTTGATGTCCGATACTTCCACGTTTCCTCGCATCAACAAACCGCACGCCAAGTACACGCTCGCGCGTGGGTTTGCCCGGATTAATTGATGGTCCCTGTCGTTAACATACAGCAACACTTAGTCTCTCTCCTACGTAGCACCGGTCGAGTCTGAACTTACTTTTGAAAAGCTTCGGTGAACATTTGATTTAGTCGACGAGGCTGCTGTCTGGGATCAGAGGTGGCGAACACGGGGCTCATACTCGACAGAAGGAAGTGGAGCTTAGGGAACGGCACTAAGTTGGTCGTGATCTCGTTCAGATCCACATTTAATGAGCCTTGGAACCGCATTGAGCTCGTCAGATTGGTCAGCAAATGTGCCACAATATTATTCATTTCTCCAAACGCGCTTGCTTTCTTCTGCGCGCTAGGACGTGCAGTCGTGTTCTTCCTCTTGATCGGCTGTGTAGCTGTCGTCTGCAGCACTTTACCGCTTTTGTAGAAATACTCTAGCTCTCTCAAATCCACGCTATCAGTCAGACGGGAGCCACCCATCACGCGTGTGAACTGCTTTTCGTTCGCCGATAAAGTCCCAGCCGCTGCCGTTCCACGGTCGATCTTCGCGCACAGACCCATGAGCGCTTCGTTCTCGATAGGTAGCACACAATCAGCGTGTTCTGTTAGTTCTCTCAGCGCAAGCATGCTATTATATGGGGACGTGACGACGTCGTCATCTTCAGACGGGAACACGACGGTCGCGAACCGGTAGACGTCCGGGTACTGGTCTTCCAGCAATCCCAAGATGTACGTGCCAAGTCCGGAACCTGTGCCTCCACCCATAGAGTGCATGACAAAGAACGACTGAAGAGAGTCGCAGAGCTCTACGGCCCGATGCAGTTTGTCCTCTAGTTGTTCCCTGTACTTGGGGCCATACAGACAATGGCCGTGCGCCCAATTGTTACCCGAGCCAGACACGTCCGTGAGCAACTGCTGTTGGTCAAAAAGCTCACCCAGAGGCCCGGTCATAGTCTCGGCCACGGGGCCCTGCTCCATGTCCACGAGGATGGCACGGGCCTTAAGCGACTTAATAGGCGACTGGCCGCCGTCAAATGGCAGATCCACGGGCGGCGAGAACCGGCAGTCCACGTTGCGGAAGAAGCTGCTCATGCTCTCATCGAACTCGGCCCGCTTGCAGTTCTGAGCGTGCTCCTCGAGGGCTAGTTGCCAGAACTGTCGGCCGATCTGGTTGCCGCATTGGCCCACCTGCAGCGTAATGAGCTCGCGGGGCATTTTGGCTTCGATTCGCGGATTTAGGATTTGAATGGTTTTCGGGTACTGTTATTGGACAAAACCGGGTACCAGGAAATACCACCAAGACGCACAGACAATCCTTTTTGTAGTGATACCAAAAGGAAACCACTTTTTATTACTATCCGAAGGAATCACAATCTAGAGCTGTGCCATTACAAGGGTACTATCGGTTTTATGGCTACACTGCTGTCTGCCGCAAGCAACTTTCAGATCACATCAGGACAAGCAGCATATACACAACCTAGTGCCACGTTGGCCGCCAAAGTTGCTAATGCGTTCCTACAAACCTTTTCAATACAAATATCACGTGCGTCTAAAGAAGACTCGTGCATCACGATTCATGATGCGTTAAATGCTATCATCATGACTCCAAAGTCCACTTGCAATTCAATTATTATTGTCGTGAATCTAGCGTTCAATTTGAACCGTTTGGACGATTCAATGCGGTAACCAATTCAAAGAGAGCTATCAGAAAAAGAAAATGACCCTATTCTGCAACTGCCACGCCATTTCTCAAAACCGAGGATTCTTTTTGTATAAACTTACGCTAAGATTACGTGAATAAAGGCGTTGTCTAATTTAACAGCGGCATGAGGCTGCTACTCTTCGGCAGGTAGACCCACCGAAGAAGCAACCCTCACGTTTTCACTTTAAGAAACCTAGCTCAGCCTACATGGGACTGTAGTTAGCGTCCAATAATGTTTTAGAACTGCCTGAGCCTGAAAATACAAAAGTTATGAGTAGCTTGGGTTTATGACGGCTCACCTCGTTGAGAACAAAACAATGTATGCGAATCACCATTCGCACACATTAAGATAATTAAACAAATTGCTTTTACACCATTTTCACAGTCCTCCCAGCCTAAAGTGAAGCATCCTAGTTAGGAGATTTACCAAACGAACATTAACAATAGTTAATGAGCTCTTGATAATAATAACAGATGATTATTTATCACCAAGCACAATCTGGAGGTTGTTTTGACTTGGGCTTAACCGGAGATCTCTCCAACATCCTTAACCAGAGGGAATCACTCCAAAGAGGATCATCTCTACTTCCTGGAGTACTCGATTCAGGTTGGCATCGTGCGGTGTGCCACACTTGCTAACTCTGGCACTTTGTTTTGGAACGTCTGAGTTGACTTTCCCCGTAATATTGATAAAGTACATGTAGACTTTGATCCTTTGCCACTACCATCACCACCATCCATGTTTTACTCCATGTTTGCTAACGACCGATGCCCTCTTATTCGTGACGAGGCTTGGATTCCGAGTCGGCCGCCACCACGATCAATCGGGCGACCAACCAACCGATGCACCGGTAGACCGACACGTCAATCCTTGTTTCGCGTGCATCCACTTCAACCACGATGCAGCACGAGGCCCCGCTATGGCACGTTTGGCGGACACCGCCGGCATCGCATGGGCTGTACTGCAACGTACCTGCGCTTGAACTACAAGGGCGTGGGAACGATCAAATCGAAGTCAAGCTCTTTCTGCGCAGGTGGTGTCTTGCTCTTTTCCTCGACTTCAAGTTGCTCCTCAAGCTCAGGGGTATTGGAGGTGCCCCACCAAACTCTTGCACCAGAATCCAGACACGTAATACGGGCAAGTGGTTGTTGCAGCTGTTGACGCAAGGGAGACGAGCGTCGGTGTGAGCTAGTAGCCTCGTCTCTTTAAGATCGACCGGAGTCACGCTCTGATCCATAGGTGCCAAGTTCGCTGTGTTTGTCAGCCTGCCTGCCAGCCAGCCAACAAGCGAGCGAGCGCGCAGTTACTGCGGCAGTACGTGTATCGAATCCTGGCGTCACGCAGGCCAGGTGCGTCGGGCAGGACAGGTGCTTCGAGGGCGGAGACAAGTTCAACTTCATGATGTCGTGCGCTGCTACTGCAGGGATCTCGCTTCGAGTCGAGGGTCCCGCGGCCTGAATCATGTTAAACGAATGCACGTGGAGAACAGGTGCAGGTGTACAGTCCTTGTAGCGTACGTGAACATGTAGAGGGCTGATTTTGCTGCGCGAGAGGCTTCCGGTGCGAAGTTGAAGGGACGGGCTGGTTGCAAATCCTGCTCGCCCGAACTTCAAATTGACAGGACCAGGGCGTTAGTCGTCGGAGCGCTATTACGGCAAGCCCACCAGCCGATGGAGTAACACACCCGTGCCGGCGTCACGCTGGCAGCGCGATCCGTGTATCTCAGGACAGGCTGGTGTCGAGTTGGAGGCAGAACTCGCTCCTGCTGATGGCTATTTCGGCGAAGCTCAAGACTGCATGTCGGTACGGTAGCTGCAGTACAAGTAGTATGGTCTCTTTGTCACCCTTCAGTTCATTCTGCTCTACAGTGTTTACCGTACGGCGCGATACCCGATGCGCTATCCAATTTGGGTTCCAAGTTGGTAAAAGAGCTTCTCGCGTCGCCGCATTGCACGCGTCTGCCATCACAGGAATAGTCTTCCTCAAGAAGTCCCTTTGTAGGGGGTTAACCCAATTTCAAGAGTTATCCTGCCAGGTTGCAGTGCGACTCGCACTGCGAGCTGCCTCCTCCTCCTGAGGCTCAGGAGGCCCTCCTGTACGCCTGGTCACATGAGAGACAAGTCGAATAAGCGCATCGCGTCTTGGATGTGCTGCACTCCAAATGTGCCTATCAGACTTGCCTGGACCCCTAAAAAGCCGCTCACAAAAAATTTCAATCGCCTTCTTGCTGCGTTTTGGTTCAGTCCGATTTTGGTCGAGAACAAGCACGGCAAAGCTGATGCAGCGCGCATTTGCCAGACCCAACAAGCTCTAAGCGATATGCCGCCGACCCCAAGCAGAGACTACTGGTACAGTAGAGTTGACATGAGGTCTGATACTGTTGTGCAGCAAATTAGTCCGACGTAGCGGCGCTGCTAAGGATGTGATGCGATGCACATGTACCGCCGACCTTCAGAAGTCGCCACTAAGCGACTGATAAGTCGCTTGATCGTCGCGATTTGTGCGAGTGTGATGCATATGGGGATGCCCATCGCTGCGTTAAATGGGCCACGTTATCCTAAATACACGGCGACTGTGGAGGTGGCGGCCAAGTTTTGTCGAAGCCGTAGAGGTGCCGTGTAGCGTGTTGTGTATGCTATCCTATACCTAGCATTGCTAGGTATGGCATCGAGGGTGATGAGGGATACTAGTATGCAACGGGCGGCATTGAGCCGTCAGGCTATATAGTCGAGTGGTGCGAGAACTGAAGCGACCAAAGTGTTCTACGCGCTGCAACTGAAGACGAATAGCCGGCGTGGCGTGGCCATACGGGTGGCGATGAGCGCGGATCTTGGTGACTTATGAGATGCTATGGGCGATCTAGCTGGCGATAAGAACCTCGCACTCCCCGGAGAGGGACGAAAAAGAATTTCCTAGCATCGTCACCGGCTGCTATATATCGTTTAAAGGAATATAGCAGTCGATGACAGTGCCATTAAAAAGTAAAGCACAAACGCAGGCGATATCTCTCTAGCCTTTAACTCTGTAACTTACAATAATCGGGTATCCGTTAAGTTTTTATTGTTTCGGAATGAGCACTGAACTACTAGTAGTATATTTTTCTGAAGATTTTCAAGTTTATTCAGATTTGAAGAATCTTAGAAATCCTTGTAGAATTGATCTCAAAATAACATTTCCTCGTAGCATTCCCCCGGCTATAAACATGGCGCAAGCTTTTGCCTTAAATGGGCGGCTCTCTTTCCTGTTGCGCTCCGTTCTAGAAGGGAGTGTTGAGGTCACAAAAGAAACGAAGAGTTGATCAAATGTAAGGGGAAATGCCAATGCGGGGCCGGTTTGCCAATTAGGGGCCGGTTCATTTGGCTAATGAAAGACGCAAAATTTAACCAATGATATCATCTCGTTTTAATACCAATCTTGTATTGGTAAATAAACACTAAATTCGAAACCTTTTTTGAGAGAGAAATTTGGCCTTCTATTTGTGGTTTTATTTACCCTATAGAAGCCTGTTTTGACATGCATTTAGACGGTCCTTTATGGACTTCGTCTTTCGTTTTGAGTTGTCACTTGCAGGGAGGTTGGTGCCTGGTGTATTGAGAAGCTTGGCTGTCCGTTCCAAGTAACTCCGCATTGGGCTAGTCGATGAAGCGGGGTCAGAGCTGAAGTTGAGAATGCCTAGTTATCCTGTAAATTGTCCAAGTTTGATAGTCCGTAAAAAGTCCTTGCTTTTGCCAGATTTTATCGGGGCTTTGAGTCATGGCAGCCTTGCTCCAGGTAGGTGTAGATTCTCGTTATTTTAGTTTTTCCAAAACTCGTGTCCAGTTGTAGTTGTGATTCTGTTTGAAATACTTGGATCTCTGACGACGAAGCGTCCTACTGAGGCTTTTGTTTGCCGTGGCTTCTGGTACTTCCCATGGGTAAAGTGCTACGGATGCATTGGCATAAAATGCTACACCTTCGATGTTCATCCATTTCTCCACTTTCACAAAATCATTAGTCTCCTGGTATGCGTCGTTCAATTCCACCATTTTCCATGTTACCCCATCCGAATTTCTTCGTACAGTGAAAACTGGTTGCGGTTCCTCTCTCAATTCAATTGTTGCTGTGACGTCGTTCCAGTTGCCGCTTGTGACTGCCCAAGTTATTTGGCTTCCTAACGTTGGAAACTTCCTTGGTATTATACTGGTATGCGTGTTATTCCAAGTTTCCCACGGAAGACTGAGTATTAAGCGCCTACTCCATCGTGTGATTTGGCGTATATGGGTTTTCAGTGTCTTGCCCTTTGCTAGCGGTGGTTTAATTGTCACTGCATATTCCCCTGCTGATGTCAGTCTTTCTTCGGGTGTAACCAGTAGTTTCCTAACTGTTGCCGATTTGAGTGCTGGGAAATCTTGCTGCTTTAGTGGAAGGCCTCGATCATCAAGAATCGCACTATTCTGATGCCAAGTTGCATTCAGAATAAATTCACCACTTATCGAGTCATACCCCCCCTCCAGTATTTACCCGCGCCGCTGTAAACCGTACCCGTTCATCATCCACCACGTAACATGAACTATTTGCTGGTCCTTCTCCAATCAAGGTTTGCGTTTCTTGGAGTTGTTCGTTAGTTGGTAGCAGTTTTCTTGAGTGAGCAGCCCATAGATCTGCTGTTCCCAATGCTGCTGCTGATATTTGCGGCTGTTGGTGCAGTTCTTTCTTCAGTTCTTTTATTGTTGTCTTTGATGTAGGTTTAAACTTGCATCCGGAATAAATACACTTTTGTCCTGGATGAACTATTGCATGCCAGGCTTCTGAGTAGACGTCCTGGACTCCTTGCAGCCACCGATCCGCTAAGTTACTTCGCGTTGCTTGAAGAGCACGATCAATATCCTGTAGACCCAAACCCCCGTGCTCTTTTGGTGTAAACAGTAAAGCAGGGTTCAGCTTGTGTCGAGTCGGTTCTGTCGATGTTTTGCTATTCCAAACGAACTGCTTTTGTAGATTTGTGAGTTTTTGAGTGTAGCTTTTGACGGTACATACTGTTTAAGAATTCCGGGTAGTTCCACAACATTGAACAATAGAACTCGTTCCACCATAGAGTTACCCACTCTCGTTGCCACTCTCAAGCGTCTCTGCAATTTTTCTATCCGAATTTCCCAATTCGTTGCATTGGATAGCTTATTATCCACCCAATAGCCTAGTTGGCGTGTTGTTGCTGTCGGATTTAACACTGGATAACCATTCCACTGCCTAGGCGTTCCGTTTGTGTTCAAGCCAATTTGTGGGGCTGCACTCGTAGTCCCGATAGTTCTCCAAATTTGTCAAGTATGCCTTATCGAGTTCTCTCACGGAATTTAAGAAAATCGTACTATCATCCA